GGTCAGTCAGGGAAGGCTCCGGAAGCTTGAGCTGCTATTGCAAAATTGTAGCGCTTCCACTCTTTTGATGTGTTGGATAGATGTATATTGCCATGATAGGGCCCATTCAACATACTCTGATATGTTTGAGATTGATTATTTTGACAGTGTACTTTTTGAGAACTGTTACTGGACTGTAGCTGCTGGTAGAAGGCCGGAGGCCTTTAGGCATTTGCATGTGAATTTTTTGTTTGATATGAGTGGTGAATCCCAGGATCTTTGACATGAAATGACTTTTGATTTTGTTGAAAGTTATGAAAGGTACTATTTAGTAAAATCGTGTTATGGGCTTATGGTTGAAAATGATATTCTAGATTTATAATACCCAAAGCCCTATCCATTATGAATATCTTTTTGCACGCAGTTAATTTAGAAAGTTCTTTTAACCATGATAGACATATTTATTAGATTGGTTTTAACTCTTTTCTATCATGGTTAATCTCATATGATTTAGGATATTATATAACCATGATAGTATTTCTAAATATTTTACAAAGTTTCTTTTCTATCATGGTTAACTTTTTGATATTGATTACTTTATAAGTGTAGTAGTTTCGTGTTACAATTTGGTATCATCTTCTAAGATTCTGTGATCTGTCATGCATTGCATGTAGTGGCAATATACAATATTCACCACATCCTTCCCTATCTTATTGGTTTGTTGTGTCTAAGTACTCACTTCCTATGGTGGTTGGACCCTTAGGTGGGGAGGAGATGGTACGGACTCGATCACGGCAGACTGACCCTGGAGACAAACCACCTCCAAATCCACCTAACCAACCTCAACAAAACAATGAGGCTTTCTTGCAACGGATGACGGACTTACTGATGACAGCTATGGATGAGAGGTTGAAAAAGTTTGAGGAAGAGGTTCTGAAGAGACGGGAGGACGGGAAGGAAAGGGGAGGAAGCAGATAATGAGAGCCCAAAAGAGAATGGACTTGAGGATCCAAGTGTGGGTAATTTAGAGAAGCGTGTCAACCTTACTGGAGGATCAAGGGAGGAGAGTTCAGCACAACGTGAGCAACGGCCCTATATTGATGAATCCATGAGGCAGGTCATGAAAGATGTGAGCAGACATAAACCACCCACATTCAATGGAAGCATGGATCCTTTGAAAGCTGAAGCTTGGATTGATAAGCTTGAGACGATTTTTAAGATTGTTCCTTGTACCACCTATGAGCAGGCACGAGTAGCCATTTTCTTATTAGAAGACCGTGCCAAGAGATGGTGGAAAAGTGCTGGTGGTCGTGATGATTGGGCGTCACCTTTGAAGAGTTCAAGGAAAAATTTTAGATCACTACTTTCCTATGGCCTTGCAACAGGAAAAGGAGACTGAGTTCTTTGCTCTTCGTCAGGACAATAAGCATGAGGATGATTTTATTGCTGAGTTTATTGATTTGTCCAAATATGTCACTTATTTGAAAAGTGAGGATAACCCTAAATGGATGGCCTCACAGTTGATAGAAAAGGCCAGGCCAGAGTTGAGGCAACAGTTAGCCTTACTTCCTTTCGAGAGTTTTGAGGATACATGCAACAAGCTGAGAGTGGCTGCACGAAGGGCTAGGGATACTGAGGAGGCCAGACGTCGGGACAATCAAGGCAGGTTTTCCAATTTTATGAAGCCGATTGGTGGAATTGGAAAGAAATCTGGTTATGGTTCCGGAAGCTCTAGCAAGAACAAAGGGCAGAACCAGAGGCGTCCAGATCAGAGGGTTCCACAGCAGAGGTCTCAGGCATTGAAGAGCCATGTTGGAGGGAGTCAAAACTCCCACAGAGAGTCAGCTTTATCTATGCCCAGTGTTAGAGGGCCTTGTTCGAGATGTGGGAGGAGTCATTCAGGGACATGTATAGAGTGCTTCCGATGCCACAGGTTAGGGCACATAGCTCGCTTTTGCCCAGAAGGCCAGCAACCACCTCAGAGCGGTCGTTCTACGATTCCAGGTCGAGTCTATGCTATGACACAGGAGGAGGCTGGTGCGTCTCCTAATATGATTCGAGGTACAGTTTCACTCCAAGGACATATTATTCCTGTTTTATTTGATTCTGGTGCTACACATTCTTTCATATCTATTGGATGTGCTAAGAAGTTTGATTTTCATGTAATTGACTTACCTTATAATTTGAGAGTTTCTACACCTGCTGGGGCTACAGTCATGACTTCTCAAGCATGCTTAAACATTGCCCTTCAATTTGAGATCGTGATTCTGTAATTGATTTGATTTTTGCCGCTTAAAGGCATTGATGTGATTATTGGCATGGATTGGTTATCAGCTAATGATGCCATCCTTGATTGTAAGAGGAAACTTGTGACTTTTTTCTTCATGCTATGTCTGTTGAGGCTATTATGAGTCCTATGTTGTTATCGGCTACTCAAGTGAACAAGTGTATTCGGGGAGGTTGCCAGACATATGCAGTGTTCTTCTCTACTAATGTGGATAAGGAAGTTAGTGTTGATCAGATTGAAGTGGTAAAAGAGTTCCCAGAGGTATTTCCAGAGGAGGTATCCGGGTTACCCCCAGAGAGAGAGGTTGAATTCTCCATTGATCTGGTACCTGGCATAGCTCCCATTTCAAAGGCACCCTATCGGATGTCTCCTTCAGAGCTGGCTGAGTTAAAGAAGCAGATAGAAGAACTACTTGAGAAAGGATTCATTCGACCAAGTGTTTCACCATGGGGTTCACGGTACTATTTGTGAGAAAGAAGGATGGTAGCTTGCGTTTGTGTATTGACTACCGTCAGTTGAATAAAGTAACTATCAAGAATAAGTATCCATTACCCACGAATAGATGATCTCTTAGATCAGCTTGTTGGATCGTCTGTCTTCTCTAAGATTGACTTGAGATCAGGGTACCATCAGCTTAGGGTCAGAGCAGTAGAGGATATTCCAAAGACTGCTTTTCGCACAAGATATGGTCACTATGAGTACTTGGTCATGCCTTTTGGTTTAACAAATGCCCCTGCCGTCTTCATGGATTATATGAATCGAATCTTTCGGCCTATCTAGATCAGTTTATAGTGGTTTTCATCGACGACATCCTTATCTACTCAAAAAATGAGGAGGATCATCGAGGGCATCTTCGTATTGCATTGCAAATACTAAAAGACCACCAGTTGTATGCCAAGTTGTCTAAGTGTGAGTTTTGGCTTAAAGAAGTAAAATTTCTTGGTCATGTGGTGTCTGCGGAAGGAGTAGCTGTTGATCCTAGTAAAGTGGATGCTGTACTGAAGTGGGAATCCCGAAGTCTGTGACGGAGGTGAGGAGTTTTGTCGGTTTAGCTGGTTACTACCGAAGATTTATTGAAGGATTCTCTCAAATTGCTATGCCATTGACTAAGTTGACTAAGAAGGATCAACCGTTCATTTGGAGTGATAAGTGTGAGGCAGCCTTCCAAGAGTTGAAGGCGAGATTAACCACTGCTCCAGTGCTTACTATCCCAAACCCTAATCGTCCATACACGTTATATACAGATGCTTCACTTAAGGGCTTGGGTTGTGTCCTGATGCAGGGAGGGCAAAGTGGTAGCTTATGCATCAAGGCAATTGAGGCCCCATGAGGAGAATTACCCCACTCATGACTTAGAATTAGTTTGCCGTGTGTTGCACTAAAGATATGGAGGCATTACTTATATGGGTCTCAGTTTGAAGTTTTCAGTGATCATAAGAGTTTGAAGTACTTGGTAGACCAGAAGGAATTAATAACAGACAACGTAGGTGGATGGAATTCCTTAAAGATTATGACTTCGAACTTAAGTATCACCCGGGTAAAGCTAATGTGGTAGCTGATGCCTTGAGTAGGAAGACAGTGCATGTGTTCCATATGAGCTTGAAGGAGCACTACTGTTTGGAGGGTTTAAGGGATCTCCAGGTGGTGCCTGAGACAACAGCTTCCCTACAGTCAATTTTTGGTTGATTATGAATTCTTTAGAGATTTAAAGGCAGCACAAATGGAAGACGCTCGACTATTGAGTATTCGAGAGGCATTGGAAAGTGGAGATGTTCCTGACTATGATGTTGGAGAAGAAGGGATTCTGAGGTACAAAAAGAGAATTTGTGTCCCTAATGATGATGAAATTAAGAAGACAATTTTGGAAGAGGCTCATCGGAGTAACTATTCGATGCACCCAGGGATAACAAGATGTACAATGACTTGAAGAGAAACTATTGGTGGCCAAAGATGAAGAGAGATGTGACAGAATTTGTAATGAAGTGTTTGACTTGTCAAAAGGTCAAGATAGAGCACCAAAGGCCCCCAGGACTACTTCAAAATTTAGATATTCCTCAATGGAAGTGGGATAGCATTTCCATGGATTTCATCACTAGTTTGCCAAGGACCCCAGCTGGTTACGATGCAATTTGGGTGATTGTTGACAGATTGACTAAGTCAGCGCACTTCTTACCTATCAGAGCCACTTACTCTTTAGAGCGACTGACACAATTGTACATTGATGAGATAGTTCGACTTCATGGAGTACCGGAGTCAATCATATCTGATCGAGATCCGCGGTTTACATCAAACTTTTGGAGGTCATTGCAAAAAGCCATGGGCACTAAGTTGAAGTACAGTACTGCTTACCACCCCCAAACAGATGGACAAACCGAGAGGACGATTCAAACTCTCGAGGACATGCTGAGAGCTTGTGCTATTGAGTTCAAGGGTAGTTTGGGACAGTCATTTGTCGCTAGCAGAATTTGCCTACAACAATAGCTACCACGCTAGCATTCAGATGGCTCCTTATGAAGCCTTATATGGGAGAAAGTGCCGATCTCCACTCTGTTGGACAGAATTGAGTGAGAGAACTATCATTGGTCCTGACTTAGTAGACATCACTACCAGAAAGATTGATCTGATTAAACAAAGGTTATTGACAGCTCAAAGCCGTCAGAAGAGTTATGCAGATCGTCGTCGGAGACCTTTGGAATTCGATGTAGGTGATCATGTGTTTTTGAAAGTTTCTCCACTCACGGGTATTGGAAGATCTATCAAAGCCAAAAAGTTGACACCCAGGTTCATAGGCCCATATGAGATCTTGGAGAGAATTGGACCTGTTGCCTACCGTGTTGCCTTGCCGCCACATTGTCCAACATTCACGATGTGTTTCATGTGTCACAATTGAAGAAGTATCATCCAGATCCATCTCACATAATCGAGCCTGAAGAAGTTGAGTTACGTGAGAACTTGACTTATAAGGCAGAACCAGAGCGGATTTTGGATGTGAAGGACAAGCAATTACGGAATAAGACTATTCGGCTCGTAAAAGTCTTTTGAAAAGGAATGAGTCCCGGTGATGCTACTTGGGAAACCGAGGAGCGAATGCGGTGCGAGTACCCGTACTTGTTTTCTTGGTAGGGTTTTTCTTGGTTGTTGGTGTGTTTGTTGAATTTTGGGGAAAAAATTCCTTTTAGGTGGGGAGAGTTGTAACATCCCAATTTTTTTTATTTATTATTATTCCTAGTGTTTAGTTAAGTTTAGAAGGAGTTTAATGCTTGATAAATGAGTTTTATTCTCTATTTATTTAAGAAAAGAGAATTATTGAAAATAAGATTTATAAAATATGTATAAGGAAATTTCTGAATAATAATAATAATAAAACGGATTAAAAAAAAATGGGAAAAAAACGGGGTACCAAACTATAATTTTGTCCCATTTTAATATGGGGTCTTTAACTGGAATTTTTGCCAAAATATTATTTTAACCGTTGGGGGCCAGAGAAACATTTCGACGTTTTTCTTTTTCACCTTCTCCGGCGCCTTCTCTCATTTTTCCAGTAGGGTTTCAACTTTGCAGATCATTTTGGTAAGCCAAATGACTTCTTTTCATTAAACTCTCTTCATGAAAGTTTTTCCACTCATCTAAATCTATCTAATGATGGTAGTTTTATACTGTTTAGAGATAATTTTTGGATTTAGGGTTTGAAGCAAGTGTTGAGTTTTGATGATAGGTAAGCATAATATTGTAGAGCTATTTTAGTAGATCATTTCTATCAGTTTAGTTTTATTTATTGACTGACCTAATATTTTTAAATGAATTATTTTAGTTAAACAGATATTTATTTATGAAAAATATGATATTTATACCATGAAACTGTTGATTAAATTATTTACTTAGATGCATTTGATGTATAGTGAATTTCTAATGGTTGGTTTTTGAGATTTAAAGTTAAAATAGGATTTTTGAATTTTAAATATGATAATTTCAGATTTAAAATTTGAGAAAAATCTGTATTAAAGTAAATACTTTGAAAGGTTTAAATGAAAATTTTGGATTGTGAGGATATATAAATTTTGTGCTAAAAGACTTAATTATGGGTTATGAGAGGTTTGGGTTTAGCATAGAATTAGAAACTTTAACTTATATATATATGTTTTAGTTTAAGTAATTAATTAAATAGCTTGTGTATTGATATGTAAATGTATTGGTTGTGTAGATTAAATTATTGGGCTATTGGTATGAGCACGGGGTTAACCTTGTGGTAATACTTGTTCTAGACAAGAGGTAACCACTTTCCACTTATTATTCATGCTCGTAGGTTGTTTGTGATTGATTTTGAATTATAAGGAATTTATGAAATATTATTGAATTACGATGTGAGCTATGAAAGTATGTTGTTATTGAAATTGTCTTGTGAGACTTTTGTTGCAAAAGATATATGTTTACTATTATGATGATCTTAGGTATTATGAGTCAATTGAAAAATGGAAAATCCCAATTGATTTTTACATGTTGATGATTGTTTATGAATGCAATATTTTGAGTGTTGATATATGAGGGGTGGCGGATGTTGATGATGGGTACTATAACAAAGAGGATATAAGGGGGTGAATTATGTACATTTGAGGATATAAGGTGGTAGGGCCATCAGGTGTACACTGATTGGTCCTTTGGCCCAATTATTCATTATAGGGCATTGACACCCTACTAGTAGACTAGAGGGGGAACCCATGGTCCGGTCTGGTGCTCTGTGGATTTTGGCCGGTCCATATCACTTGATCGGTGAGCTTGTCTAATTACCAGTCACATGGATGAGGATTTAGCCCATGGGTTTAGTCAGAGGATATAAGGTGGGTGGATATAAGGGAGGTGAAAAGATTATTGATTATACTTTTTATATGCTTTGACAATATGAAATTTGTTGGAATACTATGAATTTGCTTTTGTCTCACTTGACACGTCACGAGCACTTACTTGTATGCTTGATAAGTAGGATTGCTGGTTACTGAGACTTTTGTCTCACCCCGTTGATTTAACACTTTTCCAGGTGATAGTTCCCGTTCGGGTCAGTCAGGGAAGGCTCCGGAAGCTTGAGCTGCTATTGCAAAATTGTAGCGCTTCCACTCTTTTGATTGTGTTGGATAGATGTATATTGCCATGATAGGGCCCATTCCACATACTCTGATATGTTTGAGATTGATTATTTTGACAGTGTACTTTTGAGAACTGTTACTGGACTGTATGCTGGTAGAAGGCCGGAGGCCTTTAGGCATTTGCATGTGATTTCTTTTGTTTGATATGAGTGGTGAATCCACAGTGATCTTTGACATGAAATGACTTTTGATTTTGTTGAAAGTTATGAAAGGTACTATTTAGTAAAATCGTGTTATGGGCTTATGGTTGAAAATGATATTCTAGATTTATAATACCCAAAGCCCTATCCATTATGAATATCTTTTTGCACGCAGTTAATTTAGGAAAGTTCTTTTAACCATGATAGACATATTTATGGATTGGTTTAACTCTTTTTCTATCATGGTTAATCTCATATGATTTAGGATATTTATATAACCATGATAGTATTTCTAAATATTTTTACAAAGTTTCTTTTCTATCATGGTTAACTTTTTGATATTGATTACTTTATAAGTGTAGTAGTTTCGTTGTTACAAATTTGGTATCAGATTCTAAGATTCTGTGATCTGTCATGCATTGCATGTAGTGGCAATATACAATATTCACACACATCCTTCCCTATCTTATTTGGTTTGTTGTGTCTAAGTACTCACTTCCTATGGTGGGTTGGACCCTTAGGTGGGGAGGAGATGGTACGGACTCGATCACGGCAGACTGACCCTGGAGACAACCAACCTCCAAATCCACCTAACCAACCTCAACAAAACAATGAGGCTTTCTTGCAACGGATGACGGACTTACTGATGACAGCTATGGATGAGAGGTTGAAAAAGTTTGAGGAAGAGGTTCTGAAGAGACGGGAGGACGGGAAGCAGATTAATGAGAGCCCAAAAGAGAATGGACTTGAGGATCCAAGTGTGGGTAATTTAGAGAAGCGTGTCAACCTTACTGGAGGATCAAGGGAGGAGAGTTCAGCACAACGTGAGCAACGGCCCTATATTGATGAATCCATGAGGCAGGTCATGAAAGATGTGAGCAGACATAAACCACCCACATTCAATGGAAGCATGGATCCTTTGAAAGCTGAAGCTTGGATTGATAAGCTTGAGACGATTTTTAAGATTGTTCCTTGTACCACCTATGAGCAGGCACGAGTAGCCATTTTCTTATTAGAAGACCGTGCCAAGAGATGGTGGAAAAGTGCTGGTGGTCGTGATGATTTGGGCGTCACCTTTGAAGAGTTCAAGGAAAAATTTTTGGATCACTACTTTCCTATGGCCTTGCAACAGGAAAAGGAGACTGAGTTCTTTGCTCTTCGTCAGGACAATAAGCATGAGGATGATTTTATTGCTGAGTTTATTGATTTGTCCAAATATGTCACTTATTTGAAAAGTGAGGATAACCCTAAATGGATGGCCTCACAGTTGATAGAAAAGGCCAGGCCAGAGTTGAGGCAACAGTTAGCCTTACTTCCTTTCGAGAGTTTTGAGGATACATGCAACAAGCTGAGAGTGGCTGCACGAAGGGCTAGGGATACTGAGGAGGCCAGACGTCGGGACAATCAAGGCAGGTTTTCCAATTTTATGAAGCCGATTGGTGGAATTGGAAAGAAATCTGGTTATGGTTCTGGAAGCTCTAGCAAGAACAAAGGGCAGAACCAGAGGCGTCCAGATCAGAGGGTTCCACAGCAGAGGTCTCAGGCATTGAAGAGCCATGTTGGAGGGAGTCAAAACTCCCACAGAGAGTCAGCTTTATCTATGCCCAGTGTTAGAGGGCCTTGTTCGAGATGTGGGAGGAGTCATTCAGGGACATGTATAGAGTGCTTCCGATGCCACAGGTTAGGGCACATAGCTCGCTTTTGCCCAGAAGGCCAGCAACCACCTCAGAGCGGTCGTTCTACGATTCCAGGTCGAGTCTATGCTATGACACAGGAGGAGGCTGGTGCGTCTCCTAATATGATTCGAGGTACAGTTTCACTCCAAGGACATATTATTCCTGTTTTATTTGATTCTGGTGCTACACATTCTTTCATATCTATTGGATGTGCTAAGAAGTTTGATTTTCATGTAATTGACTTACCTTATAATTTGAGAGTTTCTACACCTGCTGGGGCTACAGTCATGACTTCTCAAGCATGCTTAAACATTGCCCTTCAATTTGAGAATCGTGATTCTGTAATTGATTTGATTTGTTTGCCGCTTAAAGGCATTGATGTGATTATTGGCATGGATTGGTTATCAGCTAATGATGCCATCCTTGATTGTAAGAGGAAACTTGTGACTTTTTCTCTTCATGCTATGTCTGTTGAGGCTATTATGAGTCCTATGTTGTTATCGGCTACTCAAGTGAACAAGTGTATTCGGGGAGGTTGCCAGACATATGCAGTGTTCTTCTCTACTAATGTGGATAAGGAAGTTAGTGTTGATCAGATTGAAGTGGTAAAAGAGTTCCCAGAGGTATTTCCAGAGGAGGTATCCGGGTTACCCCCAGAGAGAGAGGTTGAATTCTCCATTGATCTGTACCTGGCATAGCTCCCATTTCAAAGGCACCCTATCGGATGTCTCCTTCAGAGCTGGCTGAGTTAAAGAAGCAGATAGAAGAACTACTTGAGAAAGGATTCATTCGACCAAGTGTTTCACCATGGGGTTCACCGGTACTATTTGTGAGAAAGAAGGATGGTAGCTTGCGTTTGTGTATTGACTACCGTCAGTTGAATAAAGTAACTATCAAGAATAAGTATCCATTACCACGAATAGATGATCTCTTAGATCAGCTTGTTGGATCGTCTGTCTTCTCTAAGATTGACTTGAGATCAGGGTACCATCAGCTTAGGGTCAGAGCAGAGGATATTCCAAAGACTGCTTTTCGCACAAGATATGGTCACTATGAGTACTTGGTCATGCCTTTTGGTTTAACAAATGCCCCTGCCGTCTTCATGGATTATATGAATCGAATCTTTCGGCCTTATCTAGATCAGTTTATAGTGGTTTTCATCGACGACATCCTTATCTACTCAAAAAATGAGGAGGATCATCGAGGGCATCTTCGTATTGCATTGCAAATACTAAAAGACCACCAGTTGTATGCCAAGTTGTCTAAGTGTGAGTTTTGGCTTAAAGAAGTAAAATTTCTTGGTCATGTGGTGTCTGCGGAAGGAGTAGCTGTTGATCCTAGTAAAGTGGATGCTGTACTGAAGTGGGAATCCCCGAAGTCTGTGACGGAGGTGAGGAGTTTTGTCGGTTTAGCTGGTTACTACCGAAGATTTATTGAAGGATTCTCTCAAATTGCTATGCCATTGACTAAGTTGACTAAGAAGGATCAACCGTTCATTTGGAGTGATAAGTGTGAGGCAGCCTTCCAAGAGTTGAAGGCGAGATTAACCACTGCTCCAGTGCTTACTATCCCAGACCCTAATCGTCCATACACGTTATATACAGATGCTTCACTTAAGGGCTTGGGTTGTGTCCTGATGCAGGGAGGCAAAGTGGTAGCTTATGCATCAAGGCAATTGAGGCCCCATGAGGAGAATTACCCCACTCATGACTTAGAATTAGCTGCCGTTGTGTTTGCACTAAAGATATGGAGGCATTACTTATATGGGTCTCAGTTTGAAGTTTTCAGTGATCATAAGAGTTTGAAGTACTTGGTAGACCAGAAGGAATTAAATAACAGACAACGTAGGTGGATGGAATTCCTTAAAGATTATGACTTCGAACTTAAGTATCACCCGGGTAAAGCTAATGTGGTAGCTGATGCCTTGAGTAGGAAGACAGTGCATGTGTTCCATATGAGCTTGAAGGAGCACTACTGTTTGGAGGGTTTAAGGGATCTCCAGGTGGTGCCTGAGACAACAGCTTCCCTACAGTCAATTTTGGGTGATTATGAATTCTTTAGAGATTTAAAGGCAGCACAAATGGAAGACGCTCGACTATTGAGTATTCGAGAGGCATTGGAAAGTGGAGATGTTCCTGACTATGATGTTGGAGAAGAAGGGATTCTGAGGTACAAAAAGAGAATTTGTGTCCCTAATGATGATGAAATTAAGAAGACAATTTTGGAAGAGGCTCATCGGAGTAACTATTCGATGCACCCAGGGATAACAAAGATGTACAATGACTTGAAGAGAAACTATTGGTGGCCAAAGATGAAGAGAGATGTGACAGAATTTGTAATGAAGTGTTTGACTTGTCAAAAGGTCAAGATAGAGCACCAAAGGCCCCCAGGACTACTTCAAAATTTAGATATTCCTCAATGGAAGTGGGATAGCATTTCCATGGATTTCATCACTAGTTTGCCAAGGACCCCAGCTGGTTACGATGCAATTTGGGTGATTGTTGACAGATTGACTAAGTCAGCGCACTTCTTACCTATCAGAGCCACTTACTCTTTAGAGCGACTGACACAATTGTACATTGATGAGATAGTTCGACTTCATGGAGTACCGGAGTCAATCATATCTGATCGAGATCCGCGGTTTACATCAAACTTTTGGAGGTCATTGCAAAAAGCCATGGGCACTAAGTTGAAGTACAGTACTGCTTACCACCCCCAAACAGATGGACAAACCGAGAGGACGATTCAAACTCTCGAGGACATGCTGAGAGCTTGTGCTATTGAGTTCAAGGGTAGTTGGGACAGTCATTTGTCGCTAGCAGAATTTGCCTACAACAATAGCTACCACGCTAGCATTCAGATGGCTCCTTATGAAGCCTTATATGGGAGAAAGTGCCGATCTCCACTCTGTTGGACAGAATTGAGTGAGAGAACTATCATTGGTCCTGACTTAGTAGACATCACTACCAGAAAGATTGATCTGATTAAACAAAGGTTATTGACAGCTCAAAGCCGTCAGAAGAGTTATGCAGATCGTCGTCGGAGACCTTTGGAATTCGATGTAGGTGATCATGTGTTTTTGAAAGTTTCTCCACTCACGGGTATTGGAAGATCTATCAAAGCCAAAAAGTTGACACCCAGGTTCATAGGCCCATATGAGATCTTGGAGAGAATTGGACCTGTTGCCTACCGTGTTGCCTTGCCGCCACATTTGTCCAACATTCACGATGTGTTTCATGTGTCACAATTGAAGAAGTATCATCCAGATCCATCTCACATAATCGAGCCTGAAGAAGTTGAGTTACGTGAGAACTTGACTTATAAGGCAGAACCAGAGCGGATTTTGGATGTGAAGGACAAGCAATTACGGAATAAGACTATTCGGCTCGTAAAAGTCTTTTGAAAAGGAATGAGTCCCGGTGATGCTACTTGGGAAACCGAGGAGCGAATGCGGTGCGAGTACCCGTACTTGTTTTCTTGGTAGGTGTTTTTCTTGGTTGTTGTGTGTGTTTGTTTGAATTTTGGGGACAAAATTCCTTTTAGGTGGGGAGAGTTGTAACATCCCAATTTTTTTTATTTATTATTATTCCTAGTGTTTAGTTAAGTTTAGAAGGAGTTTAATGCTTGATAAATGAGTTTTATTCTCTATTTATTTAAGAAAAGAGAATTATTGAAAATAAGATTATAAAATATGTATAAGGAAATTTCTGAATAATAATAATAATAAAACGGATTAAAAAAAAATGGGAAAAAAAAGGGGTACCAAACTATAATTTTGTCCCATTTTAATATGGGGTCTTTAACTGGAATTTTTGCCAAAATATTATTTTAACCGTTGGGGGCCAGAGAGAAACATTTCGACGTTTTTCTTTTTCACCTTCTCCGGCGCCTCCTCTCATTTTTCCAGTAGGGTTTCAACTTTGCAGATCATTTTGGTAAGCCAAATGACTTCTTTTCATTAAACTCTCTTCATGAAAGTTTTTCCACTCATCTAAATCTATCTAATGATGGTAGTTTTATACTGTTTAGAGATAATTTTTGGGTTTAGGGTTTGAAGCAAGTGTTGAGTTTTGATGATAGGTAAGCATAATATTGTAGAGCTATTTTAGTAGATCATTTCTATCAGTTTAGTTTTATTTATTGACTGACCTAATATTTTTAAATGAATTATTTTAGTTAAACAGATATTTATTTATGAAAAATATGATATTTATACCATGAAACTGTTGATTAAATTATTTACTTAGATGCATTTGATGTATAGTGAATTTCTAATGGTTGGTTTTTGAGATTTAAAGTTAAAATAGGATTTTTGAATTTTAAATATGATAATTTCAGATTTAAAAATTTGAGAAAAATCTGTATTAAAGTAAATACCTTGAAATGTTTAAATGAAAATTTTGGATTGTGAGGATATATAAATTTTGTGCTAAAAGACTTAATTATGGGTTATGAGAGGTTTGGGTTTAGCATAGAATTAGAAACTTTAACTTATATATATATGTTTTAGTTTAAGTAATTAATTAAATAGCTTGTGTATTGATATGTAAATGTATTGGTTGTGTAGATTAAATTATTGGGCTATTGGTATGAGCACGGGGTTAACCTTGTGGTAATACTTGTTCTAGACAAGAGGTAACCACTTTCCACTTATTATTCATGCTCGTAGGTTGTTTGTGATTGATTTTGAATTATAAGGAATTTATGAAATATTATTGAATTACGATGTGAGCTATGAAAGTATGTTGTTATTGAAATTGTCTTGTGAGACTTTTGTTGCAAAAGATATATGTTTACTATTATGATGATCTTAGGTATTATGAGTCAATTGAAAAATGGAAAATCCCAATTGATTTTTACATGTTGATGATTGTTTATGAATGCAATATTTTGAGTGTTGATATATGAGGGGTGGCGGATGTTGATGATGGGTACTATAACAAAGAGGATATAAGGGGGTGAATTATGTACATTTGAGGATATAAGGTGGTAGGGCCATCAGGTGTACACTGATTGGTCCTTTGGCCCAATTATTCATTATAGGGCATTGACACCCTACTAGTAGACTAGAGGGGGAACCCATGGTCCGGTCTGGTGCTCTGTGGATTTTGGCCGGTCCATATCACTTGATCGGTGAGCTTGTCTAATTACCAGTCACATGGATGAGGATTTAGCCCATGGGTTTAGTCAGAGGATATAAGGTGGGTGGATATAAGGGAGGTGAAAAGATTATTGATTATACTTTTTATATGCTTTGACAATATGAAATTTGTTGGAATACTATGAATTTGCTTTTGTCTCACTTGACACGTCACGAGCACTTACTTGTATGCTTGATAAGTAGGATTGCTGGTTACTGAGACTTTTGTCTCACCCCGTTGATTTAACACTTTTCCAGGTGATAGTTCCCGTTCGGGTCAGTCAGGGAAGGCTCCGGAAGCTTGAGCTGCTATTGCAAAATTGTAGCGCTTCCACTCTTTTGATTGTGTTGGATAGATGTATATTGCCATGATAGGGCCCATTCCACATACTCTGATATGTTTGAGATTGATTATTTTGACAGTGTACTTTTGAGAACTGTTACTGGACTGTATGCTGGTAGAAGGCCGGAGGCCTTTAGGCATTTGCATGTGATTTCTTTTGTTTGATATGAGTGGTGAATCCACAGTGATCTTTGACATGAAATGACTTTTGATTTTGTTGAAAGTTATGAAAGGTACTATTTAGTAAAATCGTGTTATGGGCTTATGGTTGAAAATGATATTCTAGATTTATAATACCCAAAGCCCTATCCATTATGAATATCTTTTTGCACGCAGTTAATTTAGGAAAGTTCTTTTAACCATGATAGACATATTTATAGATTGGTTTAACTCTTTTTCTATCATGGTTAATCTCATATGATTTAGGATATTTATATAACCATGATAGTATTTCTAAATATTTTTACAAAGTTTCTTTTCTATCATGGTTAACTTTTTGATATTGATTACTTTATAAGTGTAGTAGTTTCGTTGTTACAAGGAAACTCTCGCTCGCCCAGAAAAACTTCGTTGCGGCATGCCCTCACCTTCGCCACGGCGAAACATTCCCGAAAGGATACTCTTCCCTGGAACTCCCGGTGCGCCGCGGCGAACATACCCTGAGAGGGGTACGTTCACCTATTTCTCCAACATACCTCAAATCCAACCCAAACACCAAGATCAAGATTAAATCACTAATCTATCCTCAAAATCAACCAAAAGAGGCTATTAAAACCCGATAAAACTCAGGATGTTACACTCAGTCTGATATATTCAGAATTGCAGAGCTTTAGGAAGAAATTTTCAATCTCAAACAAGGGACCCTTACTATAAGTGAATACTACACTCACCTCAAAATTCTCTAGGATGAACTCTCTAATATACGACTGATTAAATCCTGCACTTGTGGATCCAATGAGAATGCCCAAACTCATCGAGAGCAGGACTATGTAATCCGCTTCTTGAAAGGTCTCAATGAGTAGTACGGTGGTGTTAAGTCACAAATTATGCTTTTAGATCCACTTTTGTCCATTAATCGGGTTTTCTCTTTAGTTCTGCAATAAGAAAGAGAGCTTCATCCTTCTCTATCGATGCCTGTTGATTCCAAAGTTCTGTTAGCTAAGGGACTACAGTGTCCTTCGACCAAGCCTTCTGGAGGATCTGCCAAACAATGTTCTTATTGTGGAAGACCACGTCATACGAAAGAGACATGTTACAGGAAACATGATTTCCCTCCGGGCTTCAAATTTTGATCCAGCTCTCCTACTATGGCGAATAATATTTCATCTCAAGATTCTGGCACTATTCAAGATGCCAATTCTGCTAAGCCTTCCCGCTACCTACTCTTAATACGGCTTTTGTCTTGCCTCATTTGTTCTCCGAGCAATATCAACGCCTTCTTGCTTTACTTGCTTCTCCTCAGACTACTTCCATAAATCATCTCTCCACTTCCTCTCTCCCACCGACTACAAGTAAATGCAATTCTTTTTCTTCTACATCCATAGTTACTTGGATCATTGATTTGGGTGCTACTAACTATGTTTGTTGTTCTTTAGATTTTTTCACATCTTATCATTTTGTTTCCCCTATCCAAGTTAGTCTGCCTATCGGTTCTCATGCTACTTCCACCATATCTAGCACTATTACAATTTCTTCAGCTTTGGTTCTACATAATGTTCTTTTTCTTCCTAATTTTTCATTTAACATACTCTCTGTTTCTCGTTTAACCACCTCCATTAACTGTTTCTTCTTTTTTTCATCTTCTTGGTGCCAGATACTCTTACTTAATTCTTTTCTGATGATTGGTTTAGCTAAACAATTTGAAGGGTTATACTTACTATACGCAAATATGTCTCATTCCCACTCTCGTTTTCCATCTCAGATTCATGCAACCACTGCTTCCTCTATTTTAGATAATCCTCTTTGGCGTTTGCATTTAGGACATATTTCTCATTTTGCTCTTTCCATTTTACATAAATAATACGGTGATATTTCTTGTATTCCCCATCCCCTTCTATGTGATACTTGTCATTTTGCCAAGCAAAAACATCTTTCATTTCTTGTAAGCACAAGCTCCACTAATAAGATTTTTGATTTAGTCCATGCTGACATTTAGGGACCATTTTCTATTCTTTCTGTTCAAGGTTATAAATATTTTCTTACTCTTGTAGATGATTTTTCACAATATACCTGGATATTCTTAATGAAAACTAGGTCTAAGACTCATAGTATCATCATTAACTTCTTTGCTTTGATTCAGAATCAATTTTCCACTTCTATTAAAAGACTTCATTCTGACAATGGTGCTGAATTCTGTATAACTGATTTTTATACATCAAAGGGTGTCATTCACCAAACTTCCTGTGTTTGCACACCACAACAAAATGGCATTGTTGAGCAAAAACACCAACACATCTTAAATGTTGCTAGAGCTTTAGTATTTCAATCAAATATTCCTTTAGCATACTGGTCTTTTGCTGTTTTACATGCTACCTACATCATTAATCGCCTCCTTTCCCCTGTTCTTCACAACTTCACACCCTTTGATAAGCTATTCAATGCACCTCCGTCTTACTCTCATTTCAAAGTGTTTGGATCACTCTGTTTTACTTCCACTGTATCTCCTCATCGTTTAAAATTTGATTCTAGAGCACAGAAATGCATCTTTCTTGGATTTCCATCAAATTCCAAGACTTTTATTTTACTTGATTTACACACGAACCAAAATTTTCAATTTAGGGATGTCATTTTCCATGAGCTTGTCTTTCCTTTCAAACCAGATTCTGTTACTTCTCCCCTTTCTCCACCTATTTTACCCTCTATTCAACCCTCTTTATCTCCCTTAGTTGATGATTGCCCTATTTCATCAACTTCTATCTCACATTCAGCCCCTCACCTGTCATCCTCTACTATGTCCTCACAAGACCCTCCATCCTTCTTTCAAAATCATGCTTCTCCTTCTTCTTCCTCTTCATCTGATCTAACATCATCTCATTCTTTTGTCTCTCAGCCAATAAGACGTTCTACTAGGCTTTATCACCCACCTACATATTTGCATGACTATCACTGTGCCCTTATTTCTACTACTAATCAATCATCATCAGAGGCTACTATCCATTATCCTTTATCATCTGTCTTATCATATTCTTGTCTTACTCCTGCCTATAAATGTGTTGTCTTGGCTGTCTCCACCACACCTGATCCAACAACCTATCATCAAGCAGTAAAACATTCTCAGTGGAGGGATGCAATGAAAGCAGAAATCAAAGCACTTGAACAGAACCAAACTTGGGTTCTTACATCTCTACCACCCAGTAAGAAGTCAATCGGTTGTAAATGGGTTTTTAAAACCAAGTATAAGGCCAATAGTGATATAGAACGACATAAGGCTCGCCTTGCTACAAAAGGTTATACACAAACTAAAGGTTAAGACTATTTTGATACTTTTTCTCCAGTTGCTAAAATGACTACTTTACACATGCTACTTGCTATTGCTTCTGCCAAAAACTAGTTCCTTCACTAGTGAGATGTGAATAATGAATTTTTTCATGGTGATCTCCATGAATAGGTGTACATGGACCTTCCAAAAGGATTCATAGCCCCTAAACCTGATATGGTTTGTAAGTTGTAGAAATCATTATATTGCCTAAAACAAGCAAGCCGCCAGTGATATTCAAAACTCTCTTCTGCCTTATTGTCTTATGGATATCATCAATCCTCTTCTGATCACTCTCTCTTTTACAAAGCTGCCACTGCTTCTTCATGTACAGTTATCTTAGTCTATGTTGATGATCTTATTTTAGCTGGAAATGATATGAATGAGATCAACTCCACTAAGTTGCAGCTTGATCAGGCTTTCACTATAAAAGACCCTGGTGAGCTCTGGTACTTCCTTGGCCTTGAGCTGGCACGTTCTAAGCAGGGCATTTTCCTCTCCTAAACAAAATTTGCTCTAGAACTTCTTCAAGATACAGGCTATTTGGCATCCAAACCAGCTTCAACTCCAATGGATCCTCATCTCAAGTTATCCAAAGACAAGGGAGTACCACTAGAAAATCCTCAAATATACCAGAAGCTAATTGGGCATTTGCAATACCTCCCCACCACACATCTCAACCTTAGCTTTGTCACTCAACAGCTCAGCCAGTACATGTCCAACCCTAAAGATCTTCATCTTCAAGCTGCCTATAGGGTTCTATGATATATAAAAGTTTCTCCTGGTGCTGGTTTATTGCTTCCCTCAGATTCTGATTTAAAGTTGAAAGGTTCAGTGATTCTAACTGGGCTAGCTATATAGATTCCAGGAGATCTGTGATTGGTTTTGCTATATTCCTTGGTTCTTCTCTTATCTCCTGGAAAGCTAAAAAGCAAGTGACAGTGTCTCACTCTTCTTCTGAGACAGAGTACCGTGCTCTAGCTTCCACTACATGTGAGTTCTAGTGGTTATTGTACCTTTTGAATGACTTTCATGTTTCACATCTCGCTGCTACTCCTCTATACTGTGACAATCAATCTACCCTCCAGATTGCAGCTAATCCTACATTCCATGAGAGAACCAAGCACATTGAATTTGATTGTCATCTAGTCAGAGAAAAATTACAAGCCAAAGTCATCCATCTCCTCCCAATCAAATCTACTGATCAATTAGCCAATGTTTTTACTAAGCCACTGCATCCCACATGCTTCCATGAACTCATTTCCAAGTTTGGCATGAAAAATATCCATGCTCAAGCTTGCGGGGGGTGTCAAGTGTAACATAGATATTTTGTTAGATAATTTATATTGTTAAGAAGTAGTTACAGTTTGTTATGTAAACACTCTCAGACCCACTAACTCACTTGTATATATACACTTCTTCTGATCAATAATAAAGTTAACTCATTCTTTCCCAATATTAAGTTTCACTCCCTGTGACCCTTTTATTGATGACCAGTTACGCACTACTCTTCTGTTTCTTAATATATTACCTAATTATTGAGTTGATTTTATTCCTAAATATAAAATTTATTTATCATATTTATTACTTTTTTTTAAATTACCTCTATGAGAACACCAACAAAGTGTTGGTCCAAGTAAAAGGAACTCAGGAACTTTAAATATTATGTCCTGAGTTTGATTCTTAGAAAGATATATATGGAACAAACACTGTTGAGAGGGGTTTCGGCTACGGCGTCTGATAGTATTCCTAGATATTAGTCTCTCACCATTCGAGTGGAAGAATACTCTAGACAATAAGAAAAAATATTATTCAAGAACGAAGCTTCTTCCTTTCTTGTTTCGTTTCTCTTGTGTTGCATTACTTTTAGTTTTATTTATAAGTTTCAAATCTTAAAATAAAATGTGTGGTTTATTTTATAAATTTTAATTTGAGTTTTTCTTTCAATATTCTCTAATTATCTGTCTCTTATTACATGTCCGGACACATTCTCTTTTATCTTTTATCTTGTTTATTATGAAGTATATTTAGAAACAAAATTATATTTCCAACATATTTATTGTTTTTAACTAATTGTTTGTTATCTGTGAATTAATTATTTGAAGTTTATAATGAGTATTAAAAAGAGCTATTTATAGTAGTAATGGCACCATTAGACTGATAGTTGATGACAAGAAGCTCTTGGTTTAATGGCACACCTCCTCTCGTAGAAAAGGTCGGGGGTTTTATATTTGAAAGGACCAAAGTAGGTGAATGTGTGTGAAATGTGGTTTCGTGTGCCTTCTCCCTTATAAGAGAGGGGGTTTAAATTGTCGAAATAATAATAATAATAAAAAAGTACTGACGTTTTTAGAGTTGAATATTTCGAACATTTCAACCTGATTCAATAGCAAGAAATGAAGGACAAGTTTCCAAGCTTGATTCATCAAATTGCGAGATTAACTTCATCGGTCAGGGTGGACCGAAAAAGCGGAGGTACGGCCTGGGCCCAATATGTGGACGTTCGGCCCACCCACAAAGAAAGCGTTGTTGCTTCCTGAATAAGAAAACGCAACAGCCTAAACAGATGCCGAGAGCAAGTGAGTTGTCGTTTTATTAGAGGACAGAGGAGAAAGACGCGAGAGATAGGGGCGGGACCATTAGCTGAGGCTGTCTTCTTTCGTGAAATTCAAAGAGCAGTGGAGCCCACGAAATGAGCAGCAAAGCAGACGTTATTGAAAATTAGTTAAATTATTTATCTGTAATAACTGGATGTGCCGTCTCTATAAAACATTCTTATTAATCAGGTGTATTAAAATAAAAATATTTAACATATACAATTAGTATTAAGAATATTTTGAAAAAATAAAATAAAATGAGATTTAAAGTTAAATTAAATGTTGAAGTAGTTTTTATATTTGACCTCGGAAACTATTATAAATCCTAGTAGACGGTGGAGCTGGACGGTAGGCGGTCAGTGAGCCTTAGGGTGTGTTTGGTATGAGGGATTTGGGAGGAAGGGGAGGGAAGGGAAGGGATTTTAATCATTTCCCCTTGTTTGGTAACATACAAATTTTAGGAGGGGAGGGAAAATTTTTTAAAATTTCCCCTCCCTTCCCTCCTCAATCTCCCCTCCAAAATTAGGAGGATTTGGAGGGAAAGGACAATATTTTGTCATATTATGACCATTATGCTCATATTTTATCATGTTGTGACCATTATGTCTATATTTTGTTATGTTGTAACCATTATGCCCACACCTTAAATAAAATAAGAACAAAATTATCCATATTAAAATATTTTTCCCTCCCCTCTCTTTTTTTTTTATAAATCCAAACAAGATAATATTAAAATCCTTCCACTCCCCTTCCCTCCCCTTCCTTCCATTAAAATCCCTCCCCTCCTCTTCCTCTCATTGAGCCAAACATACCCTTAGGAAAGGTGAGAGAAAAGGAAAGAAACAAAATAAAGACGCAAATAAGGAAGGCATTGAAGAAATCCCGGAGTGGTGTTGTCCATTCACACCTCCATTCATCCGGACGTAGGAAACCTACCATATATAAACCCAGCAAGTGTCGTACATGTTTTTGACACTTTAACATGATAATTTATGAATCAAGATGGAATATTCGGAGGGGAAGGAATCATGGGGATGTACAGGCTTAAAGTTAAAAGAAGAGCAGCACGTCATAGCATTTCGCTTGATTTTTAATATCTAGTTCCCTCCATGAGAATGGTCTTTTAGTGGAAGCACGGATGTCATGAATACAGATTTAAGAGGACTTGTATGGAATGGAAATGGAAATGGAAATGAAAGAAATTGTTGGCGGGGTCCGCCCATTGTGTTTGCCTTCCCCATCATCTTTTCCTGTCCGTTCTTTTGTTCTTCCCTCTTGGTTCGCCCCCCACTCTCCACCACTTTCCTTTTTATTATATATATCTGTCCCTTCGTTCTCTTTTGGGTTTTGGATATAGCTGGGCACTTTTGTCTTTTTGCGTCGACACATCGCCGTATTAAATATTATGTTCTTAACCTCATTGTTACGTTTAAATTACGCACCAGCGCATTGTCATTGACTCTAACTTCTTGTTCTTAAAGTTCTAATTCTGAAACCCCGGACGGATTCCTTTGGCGTTGCACCTGGTCTAACTTAAAATTGTAGGTTTATTTTCTTACCATTTTATTACTTCCGGTACTTAATATAAAAACCAGTTTACTAATTTGAGTAGATTAAAAAAAATTAACTAATACAAATTTTGGTCTCTCAAATTCTTTTTCATTTTAGTTTTGGTCTATCAAATTTCAAACGATAAGTTTTAATCCTCTAAGTTTCTTTTTATTTATAACAGTGGTCCTTATAATCCACTAAAAACTTGAATAATTTTGCCTCTTAAGAAACCAAAACCAAAATAAGACCCAAAAGGACAAAAAATTATATTAACCCTTAAAGAAATCTTAAACTAGTTATTTATAATAAATAAGTGTTGTCTTTCCTAGAATATCATTGCTGATCATGTGTATTAATTAAAACTATCATTTAATGAAACATTTAACACGTGTAACTATTGCAATATTACTTTGAAAAAAATAAAAAAATTTTGAGAAACAAGATAAATTAGGGTCTTATATTTAGAATCAAATTAAAAATTAAACTAGTTTTAATATTAAAAACCAATTTTATTCTCTTATATATTTTCGTTTTAAACAATTTATTATTGCTGCCAATTAATTAACCTGACCATCCGAGCCCCCCGACGTCGAGGTGGAGATTATGTGATCTAGAACTCATTGCTCAGTAAAAGCATTTAACTGACAGCTGCATGGACGAGGCACGTTGAAGCGGCATGCTCCGTCATGATTCAAGATAACATCATTATATAGCCAATCAGTTTAATATATATGTGTGTGTGTGTATAAAACAATAATATATAATGTGCACAATATGGGAAATTCATTATTTATTGTTATGTGCACGGCATTTTCCAATGATTATAGACATAAACACACACCCATTAGCACATCAGTTTAGTAAAGTGGACCCAAAAAAACGCATAATAAGTTAAGAGTTTGAATGTTTGTGTGAAGCTTATAAATAGTTGCTGATCAATTATAAATAATATATAATTTATTTTAAACTTTATATACATAAAAAGGTCCTTTTTTTTTTTTTTTTTACAGTATAGTAGTATTAAATGGTGATCAAATATCAATATCCATAATGGATGAACCGAAGAGGCTATAATAACTCAGAATCTGACGACAACAAATGTGTAATTCACTGTTCAGAAATATGATTTCGTGCTCACCGGCATTTAGACTAAAACATAAGATAACCACTGGGCATTGGCACTAATTAATGAATAATGTATTGCCTCGTGTTTTTAATATAAGAGCTAGTTTAATTTTTAATTTGATTTTAAATATAAGAATTTAATTTACTGTCTCTCATATTTAGCAAATTTTTTTTCAGAGTAAACATTATAGTAGTTGCACATATTAAAAATTTTATTAAATTGTAGTTATAGTTAATATATATGATTAGCAAGGATATTTTAGATGATTCAATTTATATTTGTTACAGATAACTAACTTAACAAACTTTTTTAATCTATTCATATTAGTAAATTAGATATAGGGGTCGTATTCCATGATACCGTTGGCATTATAATTTTCACAAGTAATCGTGGCTCTCTCCATCCATTTAATACCGGAAATACTAGTAATTAACAATGACATAGGGTCTTGTATAAAAAAAAAACAATGACACAGGGTCGGGACCAGGGATTTTTCTTTTTATATGGTCAGATTCGAGCACTGCTAAATTTAATTGGAACCACCCCTCTCAAAAACATTGCGCTCATAGTGTCTTTCTTTCTAGTTTTTTTTTTTTTTCCTTGGCCACGTTTAACTTTGAAATTATTTAGTACATTTTTTTTTGTAATAAAATTATTTAGTACATTTTGCTTAGCTTGCATATATAGGAAACTACTAACATAATTAACAAACTGAAAGCTTTATTGAAGAAACAAAAACAAGCGAATCACATGGAACGCATATAAGAAAGTGAACATAGTATATATATACTCCTCCCGTAAAAAAATCTTATATCTAGGATTGGAAGAATACTTTCAAAAGCTTATTAATGTTTAATTTATTCGTGTTAGATCGGAGAGAGTCTTAATTAAATATTGAGAATGAACCCCTCTTTTTTCGTCAAACAACTAATAAATCTCATGTCCTGGGAATTTCATGAACCGCTGCACGGCTCCCAACTTCGTAAGTAGTGTGTTTTTAATAATATCTCTAATTTTTAATATAAGAGTTAGTTTGGCTTTTATTTAATTCTAAATATAAGAACTCAATCTATTTTATCTCGTATATTTATCTATTTTTTTCAATATAGTTCTTGTAGTAATAGTAATTTTAACCAATACACTTAATTAGTAATAATATTTTATAAAAGATAACACTTATTCACTATAAATAATTAATTTAATTTATTTTTTTAATCTATTCAAATTAGTCAACTAGCTGTCGTATTAAGGACCGGAGGTAATAGTTTACAAATTAAAGTACTCAAATTATAATTATATCTTATTTATTTAATGTGTCGCAGTCTTTAAGAAAAACAAATGAAAATCCCTTTTAGGAAAATAGTAATATTAGGGATATATATATATTTATATGTGTGTGTATATATAAATAGAGGGACAGTCACGTGGCGCATAATTTTTTTTATAAATTTATCTGATTATATTTTATTATCTTCCAGGGAAGCATACGTGGCTTAATTTCGCTTCACGGGGAGCCGGGTAAACTTATTAATCAAACCAAGCTTTGACCTGGCCTTTCTTACTTTAGATTAGCCCGTTAATAAGAAACATGTTCCGATAAACAAGTCTAAAAACTGTTTATCAACATCAATTCGTACGAAACATGCCATTCATCGTTATTATTTGTTGTTGTGTTAAAACGTTAAACCTAATTAATTTTCTTTTTTTTTATTAATGCTAAGATTGGAACCCTTAATTAAGATTAAGGGCAAATGCCCCACTCACAGCTTGTCCGGAACTTTTTTTTAATTAATACTTAATCTGAAAGTCGTAATAGTCAATACATATTGCATCACTAAAATATAATTAAGCCTGTAAAACACACACTTAAGAGATGGGAGATCTACCACGTGGACTCTCTAGCATGTAGCGCGTCATTGAACGCGCCTCATCACAACGTCACCCTGCGCAAGGGCGGGGATTTAAAAACTCCGGGGGTGTTTGGATAGAAACCAAACCATGGTTTCAGAAGTGCTTTTACGGATTACGAAGTAAATATGTGGAGGAGATTACCTCGTTTTGCGGAAAAGTGCTTCTGAAATCATGGTTTTGGGTTTCCCAAACACCCCCTCCATCTTTTTTCTGAACCTGCTTCTGACGGGGGAGAGAGAGAAGCAGTGGTGCAAGAAAACAATATAAAGATGATGGGTTGATCGAAATCTACGGAGCAAGGGAGCTCTGAATGCTGTTGTCTCTTAAAAACAAACCCTCACAACCAAGAAAGATGACTTAAATTAAAGAAAGCCAAAAACAAATGGCGCTGATTAATTTTCTATGGTTCTTGAGCTCCTAATGCACATGGCTTCTGTTTTGCCCTCTTGGGTTTCTTCTCTCTTCATTTTTAATCTTGTTTTTCTTTTGCTTTCCTTGGCACATGCTGTCATCTACTTAAGCGGACCGCCTCTCTCTCTCCCCCTTCCTCCCCCCCCCCAAGTGTATCGCTACGTTTTATGATGCATCGTTGAAGGCTTTTGAGTTTTGACTCTTGAAGAGATTCCTCAGATCTACAACACACTCTTTTTGGACATTGTCAACCTCAATTCTTCTTCTTTCTGGGTCCTTCCTGGTCTCTGTCTGCCTTTCATTGAATCCAAAAAGGTTTGCTTACTTTTGAGCTCTTCATTTCGTTGTTATAGATTTTTGGCCATTGGGATTCACTTATTCGCTCCAGCTTTCCTGCTTCTTTTGAAAACGTCTTCCAACTTTGTTTTCCACTCTGCAAGTGTTTGTACGAACATCAAATCCGTTTGTGTCAGCTCTGCAATTCACGAGCCTTTTTTTTTTTTTTTTTAAATCTCTTTCCTCCTACTTTTATCAAAAAGAAGCCCATTCCTCTCTTATTATTTCTCATACTGGGATGTGACTGATCATTGAACTTGCAACTATTTCATACTCTTAGAGCTAGTCTCAGTGTTCTCCAAGTTATGCATTCACATCTGTTTCAGTTTCTCATACTTTTTTGCTTGCTAGTCTCTATTGCATATTTGTCTCTGTGTATTTGTTACACTAATTACAAAATACAATCTGGATGAAATTATTTTTTTGATGCAGTGCCTAACTTGACTAATCATGGCCAAACAGATTGCACCAGGCGGTAGTGCTTTGACTTCTCTCCTATTGTTCAGTCAGAGCCATCGTGTAGATGTAGAAGGCCTTGAGTTAAGCCAGAGATCTAAAAATGCTGTTGTGATGGCAAAGAGGGAAGAATTAATTGAAAATTCAAGTTGCATATCATAAAAAAATAACAGATTGGCTTGGGAATTGGATGCAAACAGTGGGCTACCATGGTTTGTGAGATGGAGAATGACCATATCGAGGACATGGACATTGAAATCCTCCATTCAATGTGGCCTGAAGATATTGAAACCGATGTTGGAAAAAAATTTAATATAGAAAAGCCTGGAAAGGACGAAGACATGTTGGAAGAGATTATAATCATGGAGGAGTCAACCATAGTTGATTTCAAGCGTCTCATGGAGCTCACAAATTATACAGATAAGGGCTCTTCTCAACTGTCCCACCTTGTGAAACACTTGGAGTATAAGCAGGCCAATGCTGTGCGCCTTCTTAGAGAAGAACTTGACAACCTAAGCAAACAGAGGCGAGAGGTTGAACTAAGGAAGTTGGAGATATTGGAGGAGCATCGATTTGAAGAAGGAGCGTATGGGGACAAACGTACAGTTTCTATTTTGGATGACATATATGATATATGGCAAGATGTACCACGTAGGAAATGCAACGTTGTTGTTCAAAACAAGATAATTGAAATAAATGCTGAGTATGATACAACTGTGTATTGGAAACAGCGGGCTCTGCATTTGGAAAAAATGCTGGAGGAAAGTGTACAAAGGGAGCAGATACTTGCAGAGAAGTTGCAAGAAAGTATAAAGAATCTTGAAAAGCAGTCCTCACCTGTAGAAGAACTGTCCCAGATTCTGAAAAGAGCAGATAATTTCTTACATTTTGTACTCCAGAATGCACCTGTGGTTATTGGTCATCAGGTACATTACAATTAGTACTAAGCTGGTACAAGTACGTGACATCAAAATTCACGAGGATGTTGATTTTTTTTTTTTTTGGTGACTTGTGAGTTTTTCCAGGACAAAGAGCTGCGATATCGATTTATCTATAATCATTTTCCAAGTTTGCACGAGGAGGTAATGAATTGCTGTTGAAGATCTTATTTGAAGGTTATATGAGCAATAGTTTTAGTTACTGCGTTGCATTTGTTTTCTTTCGAAATGTTAACTTGTTCTTAATGCCTTTTTCTTCTTTCCATGAGGGGTTTCTGCAGCAAGTTACCTTGAATACCTGAACTTTTAAATTTACTCATTTTTTCAGGACATCATTGGAAAAACAGATGTTGAAATTTTTACAGGATCTGGCGTTAAAGAATCTCAAGATTTTAAGAGAGAAGTTCTAGAAAAAGGCTTGCCTGCGAAAAGGGAAATTACTTTCGAGACAGAATTATTTGGGTCAAAGACATTCTTGATTTATGTAGAACCTGTCTTCAGCAAGACGGGGGAGACGCTAGGAATAAACTATATGGGAATGGATGTCACCGATCAGGTAAATGAATTTTGCATCTAGTCACAATTTCATCCTTTTAAATGTAAAGAGGAAATTAATTTGGCGGGCAAACTATAGGTGAGAAAAAGAGAAAGGATGATGAAGATCCGGGAAGAAATCGCGGTTCAGAAAGCCAAGGAGACAGAACTGAATAAAACCATCCACATTACAGGTATAACCACTTAGTCAAGCACTAGTTGTGAATTTTATTCCTTTCTGCTACGGCAGCAAAGAAATCTTATCCCTTTTTCTTCCTTTTCCCCCCAAAACATTCTAACAGAGGAGACTATGAGAGCAAAACAAATGTTGGCAACCATGTCTCATGAGATAAGATCCCCATTGTCTGGGGTTGTTAGCATGGCTGAAATTCTTTCTAGGACAAAACTTGATCGCGAGCAAAGACAACTCTTGGGTGTCATGCTATCTTCAGGAGATTTGGTTCTTCAACTTATAAATGACATACTTGATCTTTCCAAGGTTGAGTCAGGTTTGAACACCATCCTTTATCCATGCCTCATATTTGATATCTAAACCTTAAAATCATGTTAATACCAACTGTAATCAAAGATAAACTTGTTAGGTACTGATCATTTAATCTTTTCTATGTAGGAGTTATGAAGTTAGAAGCAACCAAGTTCCGGCCAAGAGAGGTAGTAAAGCATGTACTCCAGACTGCTGCAGCTTCACTGCGGAAAAAATTAACATTAGAAGGACATGTAGCAGATGATGTACCTGCTGAGGTGAGAAGATATTTATAAATTCAATGTTTTTCTGTCAAATATTTCCTTCTGTCTTTGGTGTTAAACTACTGGGTATTGCAGGTGATTGGAGATGTTTTAAGGATTCGGCAAATCCTCACAAATTTAGTCAGGTATTAAGCTTTGTGAGATTGTCAGACTCATGGTTTGCCAGGGACAATGCAAGATGTACTGGATGAATTTATCTTTGCTACTTTGCATTCACAGTTTTTATTCTTTGCAGCAACGCCGTCAAGTTTACTCATGAAGGCAAGGTTGGTATAAATCTTTACGTTGTGCCAGAGCCATCTTTTTCTAAAGCAGAAGCAAGCCTCCAGAAGACTAGTATAGACCAGTCTAGTATTCGCGGGAATGGAGTAGAAGATAAGTTTCTCTCAACACCTCAAAATAGCAGTAACCAAAATCATGCATCGAGTGATGAAGATAGATCTTCAGTTAAAAGCGAATGCTTAATGAATGGAGGTACTGAGGAGCAGCCTCGCTCAACTGAAACAACAGTGTGGATACGTTGTGATGTCTATGACACAGGAATTGGAATACCAGGTATCTTTTGAAACTTCTTTACATAAGTATGATACGAATGATTATCACGAGACATGTCTAAATTTTGCTTCAATTTGTAATTGGACAGAGAAGGCTCTACCTACTTTATTTAAAAGGTACATGCAAGTCAGTGCAGACCATGCAAGAAAGTATGGTGGGACAGGGCTGGGACTAGCAATATGTAAACAACTGGTAAGCTGTGTTTCTCCTTCTATCAATGGACGTTATGTTTCATTTGATCTTCACAGTGTTCTTTTCATTGTACTTGCGATACTAGGTTGAGTTAATGGGTGGTCGTCTTACTGTGACTAGCAAAGAACACAGTGGTTCTACATTTACCTTCATATTGCCATACAAGATTTCAACGATTTGTGATCATTCTGACGAGCCCTCAGATACAGAGGATGATGATGATGCTGCATCCGATGATACAACAGAGGGCTTCTTCCAATTTCAACCAGCCACTTCGGGCTCTCTGTTCTCCTCCTATGGATCTAGCAGGACCCAGACGTTATTACCTCAAAAAATTGGGTGTGCAACCTCGCATAAATTCAATGGATTTTCAGAGAATTCATACTCAGTTTCCTCTAATGATGTCAAATCGAAGGAAATAACTTCAGTTGAGGGTGTATCCTCAATAACTGATTGCCCGGATATATCTGAATGTGCATGTTCATCGGGTCATGGCCCAGAGATAGAGGACGAAAATGTAAATACAAGAAACAAATCAGGGAATGACAGTGCGCATTCTTCCTATCACACGGAAGTTGATCAAGGTCGGGCAACTATAGCAACAATGTCAAGAGAACAAGCACATCAGAGTCAAGAAAGAGCAGAGATTGTCTCGCAATGCGTCACTGGCAGCAGTTCAGAAGTAGCAAAACCAAATTTAACACCTAAGATCCTTCTCGTTGAGGATAACAAGATCAATGTCATGGTGACACAGTCAATGATGAAGCAATTAGGTCATAGCATGGATGTTGTGAATAATGGAGTGGAAGCTGTACGTGCAGTTCAGCGCCAGAGTTATGACCTAATTCTTATGGTACAATCTCATACTCCCTCGTGCATTTTCACTTAATGCTTTTACTGTCAAGAAAGTCGCTTGCTTACTTCAGGATGCATTAGTCTTAACTTGTTCTTGGATCTGTGCCCTGCATGTTTGAGTTATTGCTCAGTCCTAAAATTAATCTATCTCACCTTATTCATGCAATGCAAATAAGTCACACAGACATGCCTACCACTCTATTTGCCCATCCCAATACGTAATTTATGGACATCCGAACAATTGATTCCACTGGTAGCTTACGCTTCTTGACAAAAGAGTTAAGAAGCGTAAGCTATATTGATCTTCACGTTGATAATCTTTTGGGTCAGGTTCTGCATAATTTTGTTATTTTCTGCCAATAATGCTCGCTTGCACATTGCAGGATGTGTGCATGCCAGTTATGAATGGTCTGCAAGCAACAAAACTGATTCGTTCTTTTGAAGAAACGGGTAACTGGGATGCTGCAAGAGAAGTTGGAATTGAGCTAAATCCACCAGCTTCATGTTTGCATAATAATGAAATTTGTTTACCTGCCGCCAAGTCGAGCCACATCCCCATTATTGCGGTAAGCAGTTGTTCGTAGAAAGTCATTTTTATGATTGGAACGATTTGCCTCTTATACCAACGGAATCTTTGAAATGGTAATTAACCATTGACTTCGTCTTTCTCATATTAATGCAGATGACAGCAAATGCTTTGTCAGAGAGTGCTGAAGAGTGTTTTGAAAATGGTATGGATTCATTTGTATCAAAACCTGTGACTTTCCAAAAATTGAAAGAATGTATTAAACAGTACCTACAGTGACATCCTTGTAAATTTTTGCCTGTGCATAAAAGAATAATAGCCTAGGAAAGTTTTGTAACGAACACATCAAGTTCTACAGCATCATGAATGTCTACAGAAAAGTGTATAGAAGTGCAATATTTTCTTTTATCACTTCATAGTTTAAATAATTCAGACGGAAGAACAGGATACTCTACACTATAGTTTGGAATAGGCGCAAATGGAATGGGAATGTCAAGTTACTGAAGCATTTCCTTTAAAGTGTTAATATGCCACAGAAACTTATGGCCTAGTCACTAGAAAGAAACTTCCAAAAGACCAAGAGCCCGTTTGGAATAACTTATAAGTAGCTTTTCAATCATAATTTACGAAATATGACATAAATATATGAAAAGAGTTTTGTCTCAACTTATGTAAAACGTGCTTGTAAATATTTTTAAACACTAATTCAAATAGGCCTTGCTAGACACAATCCCTTACAAAGGTGATGGTGATATTTTTCTCAATTCTATACCATCCGACAAGAAAGGAACAAAAAATGCACAACACAACATCATCATCAGACCCAACATTGGTTTGGTCGTGGTGCCACCCTCTCCATATTTCGTGCTTGTCATTTGTACTTCTTAGATCCTGAATTTCAAACAATGGACCACGTCGCGATTTCCATTTTTCTTGTGCCTTGAAAATGGCTGAACAGAATCAGTTTCTTTCTCTTTTTTACCATTGGTCACATAATGTGATGTTGACGTCATTAATTTACTAGTTGAGTAACGACTAGTTTTGTATAACAAGCTGGGCCGGTCTTAAGTCTTATTCAGCTGGCAATGAAACAGAAAACCTTGAAACGTGGCACAATTGTCACCCGTAATCTTATTCAGTTGGTAATACCGTGGCGTGGAGCAATACTCTTCAGTTCAAAAAATAACAGCCAACAACTTGAAGGGGAATTTCCCCGTGTTATATTCAGCAACCGAGGATTAAAAAACAAAAAAAAGGAATGATGTTTTGCCCCGAAAGTAGGTAGAAAACAAGACAATTCTACTTAGATTTATGCTGACTATAACGTTGGATTCCATGAACATCTATGATCCCTGGGGGGAAAACAGGATCAGTAGCAGCTCTTACAGCAACGTTCGCCACCGCAGTAACATTTACAGGAGGAGTGAAGAGAGGCCCCACAAGTGGGATCCGATTCAACGGCCCCGCATGTTGCAGAATCTACAGTAGTTTCAGTTGAGCGTTAAGCTACCAAAAACATATCATACGAACAAATGAAACAAGAAGAAGAGAAGGGGGTTCAGGGGCAATTAATTGGCAGAGACTGCAAATAAAGAATAACGGCAGGTAGCTACATGGAATTAAACAGGGAAGAGAAAAAAGACGGGGTAACTATGCTGATTTAGAAGCACAGGAAATTACCATCTCCATTGGCGAACCAATTGCTCCCAGGGGTATCTTCATACTCCCAACACTTCGGGTACCATAAATGAATCCCGGTCTCAGAATGACCCCTGCAAAAGGTTAAAAAGGGGGGGAAAAAGTCCCATCATACATGAACGCGGAGCCACACTAGGAACCGCCAGTAGCTTTAACTTTCATGTCCTACGCAAATATCTTTGCTAATGTCTAACTATTATCACGTTATAAGATGGACAGTTTAGGCAGTACTAGGTTTTTTAAGCCTACATATGAACATATCCACTGCGTTGATCATTGATCATTTATGGTATAGGACATCCCAAGAATAGTTTAAACAGACAGAGCACTAACCTCCGTAAGGGTATCTAGTCAGAACCTCTGTTTCTGCAGCTCTCTACATCAACATCAGAAAAAGTAAAAACATATTAAAAATATGAAGAATTTAAAAGCTTCAGCATCACGTCTGCACAAGGTAAAAGGTCCAAGAAAGAGTACTTGAAACATCATAATCGAAAAAATCAACAATAACTATAAGCATCAATACATAAAAAAAGGCCAACCACAGATATCTCCATATTTCTAAACTGTAAATTCTAATAGACTTGCATTCAAAACCACATGAAGGAAAAAAATGAATACTTCTCTATTGCGTGCACTAAGACCCTAACAGAGTCTCAGTACTTTGCAATAGGGCTGTGCAGTAAAACCCATACTGATGATTCATTACTCTAAAGATGTTCTCAACATTTACAAATTAGAAAATTACCTTTCCTTCATAATAACCCTGCAGTAAGAAATTTACTACACCAAAGTCAGCAGCAGAGATGTAGACAAATCTTTTGACACCTGCAGCAGACAACAGCATGTGACATTGTACATCTGAAGAGGATTTGCAGCTAATTCGTTATATCTATATAGAATAGTAGAAGCAAGAATGTCCACAGCTGGAAATGAAGTATACAGAAATCAAGCCTGATATACCGTTCGAATCAACAAAAACAAGCAATACAGTATAACACCATAAAGAATGACTAGATTACAGGAACTCTAACAGGGCATAGGAAAAGCATGGCTAGAAAGGACCATCTATACACTATAACTGTAGAAAGAAAATAATCTTCTCCCAACGAAGCATGACAAGCACATATTTCTGACTGAAAGAAAGGGAAGAGAGTTTTCATAAACAATCTGTAGAGATTGCCAAATCCACTATGGCAACCCAAGCAAAGTTCAATATTTTGCAATAAGTTAAATAGAAGACAACAATTCATCTTTTGCTTTATTCAAGTTGAAAAGCAAAAGCTTAACTGAGAATCATCTGAGAAACATAAGGGGACCAAATGTCCTCAACATCTAATCACCTTGTTCTGAAGCTGCTCTAACTGCATTGATGTTAGCAGTCCCGTTAATCTTGTACATGTATGAGTTGGAGCCAAAGCCACCGACACAGGAAATCTAAGAAAAAATAAACACAATTTGGACGAATGCATTAATGGGGATTCTTACCAAACCAATTGAGTAAAAAACCAAAGGCAACAACATACAATAACAAAAGAAAACAGAGTATTTAAATATACATCGTGATGAACCTCGCGTCGGGGGGGGGGGGGAGATGGTGAGAGTTTAAATAATTGAAAGAAGAAAATGAATGAATAATGAATTTTAAAATGATAATAGATTAGCATGAATCTTTCTTATTATCCCCTGGCTTCCATCGAGCCAAATATATGTCAAACATTCTTTCAAACAAATTTAACTTACAACAGCAGTGACCCCATTCAGAGCTTCCTTCCAAGAGTCAGTCGAAAGAAGGTTCCCTGATTACAGTATGACACATTTACTTAGAGACATCACAGAATCCCACATCAATATTGTCTTCAAGGAAAACTGTCATAAAAGAAAGCAGACCTTGATGCCAGGTTACACTGTTAGCCCAGGAATCACGCAGAGATGACCTACCAGACCTGGAGTAATAGACAGAATGAAGCATCGGGAGGACATACTCCGAAGAAAATGTTGAAATATATTAACTATTTAAAGGAGGCACCCAAACCTACACAAATGGTTCAAAAACACTTTTTTGGCCACTACTAACAATAAGTTTGAGCCTACATTCTCCCGCATACAACCCAAAACTCTCGCTACTAGCATACTCCAAGCAGCTCACAGCAAACTATAGCATCATCTACAACTTCGCACCAATATCCCCCAATTATTGGATATCCAAAGTGCAGCAAATAAAAACTACCAAGTACCAAATGGCAATACTTAAAGTTTGATAGACTAGTAGTCATAAACATATACATACATACATATATATGTGTGTGTGAGAAGAAGTGTCGAACCTGCTAAGACTTGCAACAGACAAACCACGATCTAAGGCTTCTCTGCAGACGTGCGAGCCGACAAATCCATTGCCACCCAACACAAGCAACTAGAATGTGCATACATATTAAAATAAAAGTTAAAATCACGCACACAGAATGAGTACAGAAGCAAATATTCAGATATCATTATCATTGTAGCGTACCTTCTCTGTCGGAGGTGGAGGAGTATTTATGGTCTCAGCTTCCTCGACTTTGAAGGGCTCGTCAACCTTATTAGTGTCTGTGCAGAGATATCTCCCATTCTTGGCTATAGTAATCGCACTTCATCATAATTCCAGGTAAACACGGTTTAATGACTTGGGTATAGTTCTTGTATCTTGACGATAACATAAGATTCTTCGATAAAAATATGATAAGAATATGATTGGATCTTTTAATGAAAAACTTGATGGCAAAGATATAAAGAAATGTAAGTATTGTCCAGACACAAATCATGAAAGTAGCGACCCAATACCCCAATTGAGCACAACACCCCCACCACATTAGCTGCGGTTCCCATTCCATGGAATCCATTGATAGGTTCAGAATACACTTAATTTGCACCAGCAAACCTCTATCCACTCGACGTAGATTTGTAAATTGCACAAACACTTTCAAACCCCTCCCCTCCAAAAGAAAAAAGAAAAAAAAGCGCGCCTTTAAAATATCCAGTTTCATGCCAACGTAGTCAGAAATCCAGGATGCAGTTATGGCTTCAATTTCACATACGAGGTCGGACAATAGAACAGTGCGCAAATTATCAAATGCCATTGGTATATACACTCTTTCCCTAAACCATCATGCAGACATCAAATTGAACGCCGTTAAGAAATAGTATTGAGCCGCCAAAATAACCCGAAAGCAGAATGCAATGTGAATTATATAGCCAGGAGTCCGAAATTTCGGCAGAACACAAGGAGAAAAAAACCTTACTTGAGTTTGGAAACGGAAGTTCTGGAATGGATCAATCGTGAGACGACTGTCCTCATTTGATAGTTGGCTTCGTCGGATCCCTCTTCAGCTGTGGTCTGGCACGACGCTAACTGAATTCTCTACAAATGAGAGCGAACCGGTTACGGGGGACGTATGATTCTCTGCGGGAACGGGGACTTGGATTTTTGGTTGGGCATGAGCACTGGGGAGGCGGAATAAAAAGAAGGGTGAACACATGGCGCCTAATCCCGGTGACACCTTTCATGGCGTATGTGGCTCAATGGAGGCCTGGAGAAAGCACCAGTCCGGGAAATTCTACGCTGCCATGCGGACGCAAAGTAACAGAGGTGTTTCCTTTTCTTGAAAATGGCCAAAAATAAACAAAAGCTAAAAACTACTGACTACATGAATGTGAATATGGGCCTGGTCTTGACTATTCGGCCCAAATTCCTAAATTATAAGTTAAGGGGGTGTTTGAATAAAACCAAACCATGATTTGAAAAATAGCTTCTGGATAATAGATTTTGAGAAAAATAGATTTTGTAAAAAAGTGATTCTGAGAAGTGAGAGTGTTTAGATAGTTGTTACCAGAAGCACTTTTTACATGTGCAAATTACTAAAAAGGGCATAAGTTAATATGATAATTATACAATGGATAGATTTTATAATATATTTTAATTTGAAGGAATAAAATTGTTAATAAAATAATTTTTACTAACATAATTAATAATATATAAGATAATATAATTAATAAATAATTAATATGTGTATATATTTATAAATTATAAGATTAAATATGTTTTATAAAAAATGATTATTTTTTTAACAGAAAAATATTAATTTGCTTTGAATATTTTCTGGTAAAAAAAGCTGAAAAAACAATAAATAACAATTTACTACCTCTTTTTTGGTCCAAAAAAAAAAACAATATGCTACCTCGAACAGTGAAGGACCGAAGACCAAATACTATCTCTGAACAGTGAAGGATCGAAGACAATATACTACCTCTGAACAGTAAAGGACCGAACGGTATATATGTCTGGTCAAAATCCTTCTCCCTAGAACCAGCTGACACTCTCCCATTTCTTTTTCCAGAAGCAGATAAAAAATGCTTCTCACAAAACCATGGTTTTTGGGTCAAAATAATGGTTTTGACCCAAAACCATGGTTATTGATTTCTTATGGGTGTTTAGGCAAATTTTTCCCAAACCGGTTTGGATGACTACCAAACACCCCCTAATACATTTTCAAATGCCCATAACCAATTATCTTTACGAGTTTGGGCCACAATAGTCCACTTAACAAGGATTTAGATGTTTCAATTTTTTTTGCCAGTTTTACCCTTTATGCTCTTTCTTATCCACACATTGTGCCATCATCCATGTAACTCCGGATTTTCCCTTTGGGCACCTAAAGAGCTAATTACATATTACTCCTTTTTCTCAATATAAAAATTAAATAACTAATTTAATAATATTAAAAAAATTAATTAAGTTGATTACTTGTCACAAATGTGTATTGGTTTTTTTAAAACTATCTTCCTACATTGGCTGATTCTTTTGATAAGAACCCTTACAATTAACAGGGATTTTTTTTTGAAAAAAAGAGAGACAGAGTGAATTAAAATTTTATATTTAAAATCAAATTCAACCTCTAACTAGTTTTATATTGAGGATTAGAAGTAGTATCATGGAATGTTCTGGCTGGGTGCCCTTGCTTTGCATGTAAGGAATTAAAAAGGGAAAAGAATATTCACGAAGCAGGCATGGAAGGTTTTTAATGGTGGGGAAGAAGACTGTTAAAAGCATGTGCTATATTCTTGAAGATGACGATGGACCGTTATGAACATTTGGTGCACAGACGATCAGGAACTTTTCTGAGAGTAGTTAAATTATTCATACCTGAAAATTACCAGCTGGAAAGAGCGAGCTTCATATATAACTGTGAAATTAACGGAGATAGAAGTCGAAATTCATCACGTTTCTATTTCATTCGAGACTTGAAATTAAAGCAGGCACGTACACATCTTTGCATATGTATTTGGGAGTGGCCCTACGCAGGTTGGGCTGAGCATACGTGGTTTTCCATGGTGAGGAAGATTCCGATGCCATATTATGAAAAGCAAGAGATGGAGGCTCGGAAATCTAATTAGATTCTCTGACCTTTGGCGAATTCCGAAACAGCCAGCAGTGTGTACATATTGCTCTGATAGCAACAGTTCAACAGGCTGTGGTTGAAGTTTGAAACATGCCATATATATATATATATAAGATCCTTCAGGTGTGCCTTTTTGTTGTTGAGGTCACTTCCACCATGAACATATTTCATAGCAGATGCCATGCCCTATGATAATTGATGTGCCTTTGACTAAGTTTTATTAGGGGAGACCGGAGAAAGAGAAACCCCTTTCCCCTGTGATAAATTTTTACACTAATTGCTAATTGGGTTCCTTTGGAACAACACATGCTGTGATCTGTCTCCTTGTTTAATCTGGGTGCTTGTCGATCGTCATGATAGCTTGCAGTAGTAGTTACATATCGAATATCTGAACCTCGCTTGTGGTGATAACGAGCGTGTTAATCATTATCAGCAGTTACAAAATCATCGTTCATGCGTAAAATCTTATATCACTACTATTCACAGATGAAAGCGGATAACTGTTAAACATCGGAGAAAGTAGAGGCTGGAAGTCACTAGGTACAGCGTCTGGTGTTTAATATGAAAACTAGCTAACTAATTTGAGTTGATTGAAGAAGTTTGTTAAGCACATGATGTGGTTTCTGTCGTTACGTATTTCCTGTTACCGAACTCGTGTGTGAATTACATCAGCCACATCCATACTAGACATTGAGTATTACGTGTGTGAATTAATAATGGATTCACTGTATATTGTCTTCAGCTCGTCCGCCCACCCCGGGTTTCATACTGCCACACAACGAGATTCTTATTGTTCTGTGTCATATTTATGTGTAAAGAGAAGCGACCCTTGAGAATTGGAAGAATCAAAAGTTATTAGGAGGCATTTCAACCTAGGGGAAGGGGCAGCGAATAAGTTGATATTACTGATATTGATGCCGATTAGGGGCAAGAGTGGACGGTATTTACAAGTTCTTTGATGATATTAGGAGGGGGAATGGTACGTACTGAAGTTATTTTAATTTCAAGATCGACCTAAATGAACATGACATATAAATATATATGGTTGACTTTACCATCAGGAAAGTTAAAAAAAAAAAAAGTACGTAAAAAGAGAACCATAAGCATTATTTTGGCCAGCGTGACTATAACAAAGTTTTCCGTGAAAAATATGATTGGTAAAAGGACGAACATGATATCGGAAACGATTAACCGTGGGATTGACTTGGGCAAAAGCAAAGAAGGAGGTGGTTTCAGTGACCACGCTGCATGATTAATTGCAGCTTTTGGCAAATGATGTTTTATAAAGCAATCTCACGTAGTTAGCCCAATTTAATTAGTCGAAGGTTAGAGCGTGATAAAATAATGAGTAGGTTCGGCCAAAAAAAAATTAATAATAATAAATGGAAGTGCAAGGCCAAGGATGGATATGTGAACTGGGAAAAGGTGGGGGTGGGTGGCCTCAATAAGTGAGGGACAACCAAATTTCACGAGTTGCGAGTGAGGGCAGCTGTTAATTCTGACTACCTTTTACCTCCAAATAAAAATTGTCAGCTAGTGGTGCACATCATATCACAGGCATTTAGGAGGTGTTGTACAACCCTTATATTTTTCAGAAACATTTTTTTATAAAACGAGTCAAACTGTTTTATATATTTATTTTATAAACTGTAAAAATATTTTTAAAATCATAGTTTGGTTTCCAACCAAACACCTCTTTAAACTTTTTAATCTAAAAAATAACAATTTATACAAAGAAAAATTGGAAAAAAATGTCCATCTAATTTGGAGTATTAGGACAAAATATATCAATATTTTCAAGTACTTTCTAGCCTCAGATATTTTTTCCCCGGATTCTTCTTCCCCCAGTTATCGAATCCGGAGTGATGTCCCCAAACAGACAGGTAAAGTAAACAAATAAGTAGTATAAAAAATCATTTCATCGTTTCAATTTTTGAATATACACTGTATACTTATTATTTTAATCAGGCATGAGGAATCCAACTAAAGTCCTGCAGCCGCCTGTTACAAGCTAGAAAGGTGCAAGAGGGGAGAGAATATATGGTGTGCAAACATGGATACATGCACAGAAGCAGGAGAAATATAAATCCAAGTGGTAATATATAAATGCACATAATGAGTTGAAAGGGAATCTGATAATGACGATTAAGGAACGAGGATAATATTGTAAGACAAATTGGGCAGGAGAAACAATAAAATAATACCACGTGCCCGACCAGGAATATGTAATGAGGGAGGTTAGATACGGTCAATTACATCTTACCAGACAAAGATTCATTCGCAACTATATATGAGATGAGAGTGAATGGTAAACTGAGGAGCCAGCCATAAAACTGAACAAGTAAACAAAAACTCATATTAAAGAAATAGGAATAATCCAAACAGCGAAACAAAAAGGGGGTAGACTGGAAGAGGTGGCTGTTGTTTCCACCCTGGGTCACATTTGTTATTCGTTCTTATCACATTGTCTGATGATTGTGGCTTCTTCCACAATATACAAATATCAAGTTCCCCCCTGCATTATTCACTTTTTGCAGTGCCCTCGGATAGGGACTCCAGAATCCACACTCACACCCTTTTCCTCTACTGTAGACCTTGTGCTGCAATAATTTCTTTCTTGCTCATAATATGTAAAGTCTTTCCAATAATATCTTCAAAATCCAGGAAATACGTCCTCTCTTAGGTTTTTTTTTTTTCCAAGATTATTCACTTATTTTATTGGTCTTTCTATTTTTCTCCACAATATATTAGCATAATTGTGGTGAGCTGAAAGAAAGAACCGGCCGGTCTTTTAACACCGAGGCCCTACCATGAGTGTTGAGTTGTGTCCAAATTCCAAATTAAAAGAACTCGACGACCAAGTCGAAGAGGATGATCCAATTTTTAACTACGCAGGGACCAGTCATGTTACACTTAGGGAGAATTACCAAAAAATTCTCCCAAAAAAATTAATTATTAAAAAAATCTAATAACCAATGATCAGTTTCAACGTGTTGTCATTTTCATTTTGAAATTTGTTATTACCTATCGATAAGGTAATTAAATCTCCTCTCTAAGATTTGATTATAATTCTCCTGTTTATACTTAGCCTATAAAACAATACATGACTCTTTGAAAATTCTTTTTAAAATTATTTAGAAATTTATATAAATTGAGATAAAATTTTTCTGCCGTATTTATTAGTTATTCTGAAAATTATAACTGAAGAACTGTTATTCGAAATGCGCCTGTACCACAGTGGCGAGTCCGCGATCAGCTTCCAAAAAGCCTGGTTAAAAAGGAGACGTACACACCACTAGCCATAAAAATGGTCAAAATAAACAACGTTTAAAATTTAAATCATCCCAATGACTCAATGCATTTAACAAAACCGAAACACGTTTAAGGAGGCGTATCAAGGTAACAATACTCGTGGTTTTGGTTTTCTATAAATAGCGATATTCGTTTCACCTTCTTGCTAGTTCACAGTGTTGGCGTAGACTCCGTTAAGAGCAAAATGGGAAGCGTCTCGGCCTCAGATGATGCCACCGCCAGTTCATCAACTGTGTCGTCCCCAAGTGTTCAGCCTCATACATCTCCATGGCAATCTCCCGTCCCTTATTTGTTCGGAGGACTCGCCGCCGTCCTCTGCATCATCATGTTCTCGCTCCTCATGCTAGCCTTCTCCTACAGAAGGCAATCGGGCTCACATGGTGGTATTGAAGCTCAGAAACAAATTGAATCTGGTGTGGCAGAATCAGTTCACGCTTCCGAGCCGAAGATTCTGGTCATTATGGCCGGCGATGAGCATCCCACTTATTTAGCCACTCCCGTCTGTGCCACGTGCTCGTCTCTTGCCGAAGGTTCTGATGAGGAGGGTTTTGAGAAAGGAGAGGAGAATCACGAAAGTTCCCAGAAAACCGACAAGCAGGCGTTCGATCATGTCGCAAGTTCGAGCACAGCTCAGCCGGAAAATGGAGGTGCTCCCGCAAGCCGTCAACACAACCCGTGATGAGAAACGTGGCTGGGTATTTCTCCTCCGCACTGGAAGAGTTTTTTGTCTTCTTTCTAGCTTATAAATCGGCCTGTTTTCCGGATTCTCTTGATCTTATTCATGGCTTATGATGATGATTCGACAAGTGTAAGTTTAAGCCGAGATTCTTAATTAGAATTCTAGTTTCAATATCGATCTATATACAGATATATTATCGAGGAACGCCATTCAGTGGTTTTATATAGCAAAAATCATTTTGTATGGCTGCATAGTCACAGGCACGAGGGGTGGAAATGGACATTGGTAGGAGAAAAATAGCACTAGGGTACTACACATCCTGAGTTTCATGTATGTGTATATGGAGGAGGCGTTGGGAAGAGAAGCGGTCGGAGGAAATGGAGGGAAGACTGAATTCCCGATAAAAGAGAGGAGGGAGGAGGTGGTTGGGGAAGCGGCGGAGGCGTGGCGTCTGGGGCACGACACAAGACGACAACACTGGGAAGCGCGAGCTTATGGGGTGAGAGATGACGTGGAGCAAGATGGGTGACACGTGTCTTCCTTCCCTTCATCGTTTTCCCGCTTAACACCACACCTTGCTACGTAACGCGGCTACTAAATGCCGCATCCCCTCCCTAATTTACGCCTTCTTTTATCTTCTCCTGATAGCTTAACCCTTTTTCAAGGCGCACAAATATAAGTTCACCACAAACAAATTTCTTTTTTATTTTAATTCATTATTATTTACATATTCGTGTAAGCCCATTTATATATTGTTTTATTTTAAAAGATAAAATGCAATCCGTATTAATATGTATTAAAAAGATCGGTGGGAAGTCTTCAATGGACATAAGAGAGCGCGCGCCCAGACGACGAAATGGGCTCCAGCAAACCCACGTACAAGCTTGCAGCGGCATTACTGGCGATCTGATGTTTGTGACGGCGGACGGCGAGAAGATACCAACTGTAAATTAGCTCTCACTGTATAAATTTTCACAGTAATAAACAAACAGTGGTACTGTTCTGTCAAATCTGAGGTCATCGTGAACAGAAAGCATTCCAGTTGCTGGCTGTGTAATGGGATCCTATTCATATGTAAGAGGAGGATTCTGCTCACAGCTAAATTCTGACGAGGAAGGCAAGTTCAGGATTTGTATATGACGTGTATGCGTGTGGGAAAAGCAAAAGATCTAAATCATTGGATGTGAATATTAGCTGGGGCAGAGAGCATTGAAGCGGCATTCATTAGTTACTTTGTTAATAAAATTTGGCAAGCATGATGCGCAGACATCATCAGTGTTAAGTATGAGAACACTGGTTTTCGTGATGCTCAAGCCTGATCCTATTTTCTTCCCATTGGATACGGACCAAATCTAGTATTGGCAGGAGAATAAATAATTAAATACTCTTGATGGGTTTTCAAATTTTGAATTTAAGATTTAAATCAATTAAAACGAAAACAATACCCTTTGATCATTGTGCTGGCCCGTTAAATTCTTTTCAAGCTTAGCCACCTTCTGCCTTCGGTCTAGTGATGAGAACAACTGAACAATACAATATCAGTGTGTCAGTGTTTGATAAGTTATCAGAAGCGTTACTGTAAACTTTATGTCATATATTGGTGCTATTTATATTACTCTTCCTATTTTTAATATAAAACTTATTTAATTAATTTAATTAGATTATGAAAGTTAGATAAATTAGTTAATTATAAAAAATATGATGTGTTTTTCTTAAAACATCATAATCATCTTCTTTAATATCCTCTCCCTCTCTTCTACTTGATTATAGTTGAGGGAGTATCCGTAGAGATAATTTAAAAAAAATTGATAAATATAAAAAATAATTTTTATATTTAGGATCAAAATTAACTTAATAATTATGTCCTATATTAAGGAATGGAGAAGTACATAGTATTTTTCCCCCTATTTTCTACCGCAATTTTTTACTCTTTTCAATTTATAATGCAAGGAATCGGTAGAGTGGCTTGTTTTTAATTTAACCAGTGGCTTATCAATACGAAGAAATTCAAGTGACCGGTCAGCGAGAAAAATAGAAACGCCACGTAATTATTAGCATTGGTGGTGGCTATTCCCTAAAGCACTGACGAAACAAACTGGGAGCATCAGCTGTGATTACGAGCGCTTTTATATTTTATTTTCTTTGTTTTTTATGAGTCCGGTAACATTTTTTACCTACTGCAAAAGTCATTTCCCGTGAAGCACAGAAGGAAAAGATGAGAACTTTCATAATTATGTTTGCTTTATGTACAAAGGTCAGAAATCAAACCCTAACCATTTATTTAAAGGACAATATGTTTTCTTCCCATACAATTTGTATAATTCACGAAATCATGTAAAGAGTAATGCAAGAAGAAGCCTTGAAAGGCGAAGTAGGGTGCTAAAGGCATCTTGGTCTAGTGGCAGCCTCTCAAAAAAAGGAAGCCCCGGGTTCTAGTCTGGGATGGGTAGCCTTTAATGGGGTTTGTTTTCTCTCTTATTAGGTAGTATTTTTTTTTCATGTTTTGTATAAAGACTCACTTATTAGAGACAATTATGTTCGAAATATTGTTAACCACCAAACGTTATCATATCTTTCAGTGAAGATTTGAATGTTGGTTTTTCAGGGACTAACCTGTTTTATTAGACCCAGCTTTTTTTAGTCTCCACAAGGAAGGTTTTTTTTCTTGTCCATATATAAGTATTCTTTTATTAGAGATAATTTTATTTGAAGTATTATCAAACATTAAATGTGAATATTTTTTTTAGTGGGAATTCAAAGCCTTAGTGAGGGAGAGGTTCGAAGAAAAAGGCCAAGTAGGGCTTCTGAAAAACGCTGGGTTGTTCAGCTGAGCCCATATTTGAGGCCTTCATGGTTCAGAGCTGCAACAATACAGAAATGTTTATTGAAGCGAGCCACATAACACGAGCCCAAGCCGTCAGTCGCTATCCAAGAAAATGACCGTTTTGACATTTTGTGGGCAGCTTTTTGTCGGAGATTGGAGCGCTGGACTTGACCTAAAAAGGACGAAGCAAATAGTTCCTTGAATTGCAATTGATTGATGAAGGAAATTACCAACGTGGCCATTATTTTATCTACTGCAATTTATTGTTCTCAAGTCGGCAAACCAATTACAGCCCACATGTAAACGATAGTTCGAGCCGGACAAGAAAATTGGAATTGCTCAGCTGATAAAAGTGAATAATTGCGAGACAAAGACAAAAAGGTATATCCTAGAGAATTCGTGACTACATAAACTCGATATTCAATTCAAAACCCTCAAAACTAGTCAGTCGGAGATATATTCCGTCCTAGCGAGATTAGAAGTTTAGAACGAGTCCATATGAGCAAACCTCATGTGAAAAAGGAGACAAAATTGGGGGGGGGGGGATAACACTCTGTATTGTGAATTTGTGATATGAAAATGAAGGTGACAAAGGGACATAAGATGCCAAAAGCCTGGCGGGCCGCACCGTAACACCCCCCTACCTCTAAGGACGCCAGGTGGGGTCCACTTTCTACCAGGACGACTGTTTTCTGCTGCTTCATCCCCACCCCCATATTTTGCTCCGTAGTATTTTTGGCTAAGCCTTGCCCACCTGTCACTCCCTAATTGGTGGTTGCCCAGATATCTCTGACCCCACCAGATAGATAGACAGACTTGTTTCGAATAATCACGCCTCCTCCTCAACCACTCGTGCTCAACACTTCCTCGTTGAGTTCATACAATTGCTCTCTGTGAGGGAGGACCCAACTTTCAAACTTAACATCCTCCCATGGCTTCCAAGCTCTGTGACTCCTGCAAGTCCGCCACCGCCACCCTCTTCTGCCGCGCCGACTCCGCCTTCCTCTGCGTCGGCTGTGACTCCAAGGTCCATGCCGCCAACAAGCTCGCTTCCCGCCACGCGCGTGTCTGGGTCTGCGAGGTCTGTGAGCAAGCCCCTGCTCACGTCACCTGCAAGGCAGACGCTGCTGCTCTCTGCATCACCTGCGACCATGACATCCACTCTGCTAATCCACTCGCTCGTCGTCACGAGCGCGTCCCCGTAACTCCCTTCTATGATCCCGTCCACTCCGTTGGTGTCCCGTCTGGCGCTGCCATCAACTTCCTCAATGACCGTTACTTCTCCGACGCCGATGCAGACGCTGATGTCAGCAGGGAAGAGGCGGAAGCGGCTTCCTGGTTGCTGCCTAACCCTTCCAACCCGAAGGCCGTGGAGAGCCCAGATCTGAACTCTGGTGAGTACGTGTTTCCCGAAATGGAGCCATGCCTAGATCTGGATTTCGGGCCGGTGGATCCGAAGGTGGAATCTCAGGAGCAGAACAGTTCCGGCACAGACGGTGTTGTGCCGGTACGGAGCAAGAGTGCACAGATTCCATCCCTCAACGACCACTACTACGACATGGAATTGACTGGGTCCAAGAATTTCACCTGCGGCTACAACGGCAGCCAGTGCCTGAGCCAGAGTGTAAGACCTTCTTTCTGGAATTTTATAATTCATTACATTTGAACCTTAGACTTTTAACTAACATCAGCGGGTTTCAGGTGTCGTCGTCTTCCATGGATGTCGGGGTGGTTCCTGATGGGAATGCGATATCAAACGGTTACAGCAAGACGATTATAGGGAGTGATAATCAGCCGGTGCAGATATCAGCTGCAGACAGGGAAGCGAGGGTATTGAGGTACAGAGAGAAGAGGAAGAACAGAAAGTTCGAGAAGACCATTCGGTACGCTTCCAGAAAAGCGTACGCGGAAACAAGACCCAGAATCAAAGGCAGATTCGCAAAACGATCGGAGGTGGACCGCTTCGGAGGATACGGCGTCGTACCAAGCTGTTGAGCTTTCCGGTGACTGCATATCATCAAGCAGTCAATCGTGTATATATTTTTTGTTGTGGTTGTTTTCTGTTCTTGAATTTGAACTTCTTATCTGTGAGTGTGATTATAAATATGTAGCTATGAATTTTGGTGGTTGATGATATAGTATTGGAATCACCGAATCGATAGCTCCTCGTTTGGCTTTTGATTTGAGGAAACATGGAATGAGATATTATATTAAAATTGAAAAGCAACGCATGGTGACGGCCGCAAGGGAGGCACAAGAAGGTGAAGCGTATCAAAATCTGGGATCCTATTGGCTTCTTAGTGATTTAATTATTATTTTCAACTGAGATTATAATAATTAATTTGTAACCAAGTAGTAATATGGATGAGGAAGGGATGATTCTGAGATTTTGTTGTGTCCGTGAATGGAAATAATAAATAATTCAGGCTCGGCATCCTTTTTGGTCATCATTTTGTGGGAGGCTCTCCAGTGAATGATGGCATTAAATTATGCACGCTGTGGCGTCAATTTTCAACTTCTTTTTATGTGGCCGACATCAATTTTCAACTATTGCATATAAGAAAGTCAATTTTCAGTTGGCCCGTTCTTCTTCTTTCGTTTTTTGGTTGCCAACGGTGCGTTCTTATCCATATATTCACTGCTTCCATTTATAAGTATTTTTAGCATATTTCAGATCAAGAAGAATTTTAAATTTAATAATTTTTTAATTTTAATTTTATTTAATATATATTATATCTTATATGTAAATAAAATCAATACAATAATACATAAGAAATAAAATTATACATTTATATAAATTTTTTTAATATTTTATAAATAAAATCAAAAAATTTCTTTTCCCAACAAGACCAGAGGAGTAAATTGCATTTTGCAGTCATATTTAGTTAACTATCTTTGCCATTTTATTGTCAATTATTAATGTGAACACGTGTATTTTTACAGGAAGCTAGCAAAAAGCGAAAAAAAGTTATTATTTCATTTTTTAGTACTACTAATTACTCCTTCGGTCCTAAATATAAGACCATTACCTGTATAATGGTCTTATATTTAGGACCCGAGGAGTATTTTCTTAATACTATTTATAAGATATTTTTATTGCTAAAGTATGCTTTTAATGAAAAATTGTGATATTGAAATTTTGAATATTAAATTTAGTTTTTTAAAACAACTGTTATAAAAAATATCGCTTAAGATTAGTTTTAAAAATAAAAAATTATATATATATACTTTTTAAAATTAATAGATTAAATTAAAATGTTATATAAAATTAAAAGGCCAAATGTATGTTTTAGTCTATTTTTAATTAACACATATAAATCAGTAAAACAGATAGGTACTCTTCCGGTCTTAGTTTTACGGTAGAGGGAGAAGATATTTTTTGATCTATTTATAGGGCAACAAGAGGAATTTTTTGTGTGGATATATAATTCCACCCTTCATTTATTATAAAGTTAAAAAGTTGTTGAATTTTAAACAAGAGTTAATAAAATTTAAGATTTTTCTTGGTCTAAATACGATAAGCGGAGTAGTTAATATTCCATTTTTTAGGACAACCAATTATTGTTAGGTATAGTAAAATGAGGTAAGTAATAACTAATATTCTCCTGCGGATAGTTTAAATAAAGTTACTCCTCTAATTTTTAATAACTAATTTGATTAGATTAAAGAAGTTAAGTAAGTTAGTTAATTATAAGAAATATGACATGTTTTTTCTAAAACACTATAAGTTTATAATCATCTTTCTTAATATTCTCCATTCCTTATTTACTTAATTATGATTGAGAAAATATCTATAAAAGTAATTTAGAAAACATTGATAAATATAAAAAATAGATTTTATATTTAGGATTAAAATTAACTTTTTATACGGACCCCGTAAAATATCTTACGAATTAGTAAGAGACAAGATTTCAAATAACATGCCTGAAAATGCATGGAGCACCTATAGGCTATAGCTTGAGAATGGCATTCTGGAGAATTTTTTATTTTCCAATAAAATATTAATATTTCCTTTCTCAAGCGGCTGTGGTGCCTACGCATAAGCATGTATTAGATGCTTCTGGAACATCCACTTGGAGTCATTTTATTGGCCATTATCCTCGGAGATGGATGGTGATGCACGGTTTCTCTAGTAAGCTCGCATTGTCACGATTTGAGGTTGAATGAAAATTGACACCCATTATTGGACTGCGTCCCCTTCCATTCTCCTACCTTCATTTGCCATCCTTTTGTCTCTCTCTCTCTCTCTCTCTCTCTCTCTTTAAAAAAATTAAAAATATATGCACTAACGACTTAGGATTATAAACGGATCAAATCCGTGATCAAAACTTGAAAGAAAGCATCATGGTGTCTTCTGTGTTCGAATCGATTTGGACTCTTCAATTCCTCATCCACTCCAGATCCTAAGGGTGTGTTTGGCATGAGGGATTTGGGAGGGAAGGGGAGGGATTTTAATCATTTCCCCTTGTTTGGCAACACACAAATTTTAGGAGGGGAGGGAAAATTTTTTAAAATTTCCCCTCCCTTCCCCTCTTCAACCTCCCCTCCAAAATTGGGAGGATTTGGAGGAAAAGGGTAATATTTTGTCATATTATGACCATTATGCCCATATTTTATCATGTTATGACCATTATGTCTATATTTTATCATGTTGTTACCATTATACCCACGTCTTAAATAAAATAAGAGCAAAATTGTTCATATTAAAATATTTTTCCCTCCCCTCCCCTCTTTTTTTATAAATCTAAATAAGATAATATTAAAATCCTTCCACTCCCTTCCCCTCCCCTTCCCTCCATTAAAATCCCTCCCCTCCCTTTCCTCTTATTGAGCCAAACATACCCTAATTGTTCGACTTCGCAACTTCACCGCCCAGATGCATTTAGCTCACTGAATCAATAGTATACTTTCGACATAGCTACCATTCACACGACGTCTTTCATAGGATTATAAATACTACACTTGATACAAACCATGAATCATGTAAAATAAAGTTACACAGTACAGGAACAAGTTAAAAGAGAACTTCAACAACAACCAAGGCATGACCCTTTCTGGGTGGGGAAACTTTGGCCACAAACTCTTTACACATATTCCCCCACTGGTTACGCACGCACAGCTCCATTCTAGATGATCATTATGAGTTTTAATTATTGTTTTTCTATTCGTGCAACATAATACATGACTATATGAAATACCTATGATGAACTATATAAAGCATAATTTTGACACATCCCATCTTTCAATCCGCCACAAACCGCATAGCCAAGCAGGGATTTTGATCTTCTTTCTATCCTTCTACTGAAGGACGCATGCTACTTCGAGAAGCGCCGCCGTTTTGGTTCGTCAAGAAACGAACAACGACACAAGTTATATTGTCAGAACTGCCTCTTTGGTATGCTTCATTCATCAGCCTCTTTGCAGCCTCCTCTGCATCCGCAATTGGTTTTATCATAGAAACAGCTTCCTGAAGGACAATATCGAGAGTTAACAATTGAGTTTGTTTGTTTTAGCTAACGGGTGTTTTACGGAAAACGAGTTCTCTACCAAACAAAAGATATTTGATTTTTTGAAACCAACATCACGTCAGCTCTTGGCTTGTTTTGAAGAAGGATAAAACTCCCCTCTTTCAATATGTTAGTGCAAGGCCTGCAGGCAATGTTTCACTCATACTTTCCAGAAACTAATTTATCAACTTTGCCTAACCAACACATGATTCTGTGCAACTAAATATAGGTGGAAAAAAATAGTAACATTCCAACTATTTTCAGCAGAACCTGATTCATTTCAACGTGCTTATATTTTAATGATGGAGATGCAGAATGGTTATGAAAGAAAAGAAAGGAGAAGAAATTAAAAAAAAAACAAAACAAAACAAAAAACTCCAGACCTCATTAGTGACAACATCCCATAGCCCATCACTGGCCAATATGAGAAACTCAAGAGAGCTGTCAACTTTTTCTTCCTGCAAGACCAAATGCATTTATGTTAGGCAGTTTATAAGAATTGTCCTTTCAGGCACAATATCCAATCTTCCAACAACTAATAGAATGCTTTTCAATGGAGACTTTATACCACCCCCTGTTTGTGATAAATCTATAAATTATGTAAAAAAAAAAAGGATGTCACCATCACAGAAACACACCTGGATTTCTGGATCAGCAACAACATACTGCTTCAGGAGTCTATCACCAAATGCCCGAGAAACAGCAAGAACACCACCAACTCTCCAAGTTCCTGTGAACATGATTTTAAGTTTTTGAATGGCCATAAGCCAGCTAGATCACAAAATTAAACCAAGAAAGATAACTAGGAGATTAACTTACCAGCCCACATGACAAAGCCCCCGGCATCTTCAATCCTTTGCCTCTCATCAGTTTGGTCTGGCTTATGATCTCGAGAGACAGCAATGGCTAGAGGAAACCACAAAAGGAAGCATTTATGTCACTATTTTGATTGGGGAAGGTTAAACCAATTCAATTATCTTTAAATGAATGCATAAGAAACATTCATAAATACATGTAGACACTCACACTCTTATGCACCAAGAGTACAATATTAAAACCTAATGCATCCAAGGTATAATATCTTACCAATACATAAATATAGGCTTCTCAGGAGTATAAGTGGAGCTTCCACAAAAATGCCTTTCATCAGACACTAGGTCGTAGGACAAATTTCTCAAAAGTGATACATGATAAGAGGAAAGGCTGGTATAAAAATTATGAATGTATCATCTAGAATTTGCAAATGTGACAGTATCAGCAGATAAACTAGAAATAAATGGTCAGCAGACTATTTCATCTTATATATACTTAGTTTTCTCACAAATTTGATATTTCCTCACACTAGCATGTCAGAAATGAAAGGAATTCATAAACAAGTGAAGAAACTACGACATACATAATATATGCAAGGCAGAAAAAGACAGTAAATTTGATCTCTTGAGACAATAAATAACCTTAACTATGCTGTTCATGCTTCAAAACAGACGAGTCTAGAACTTGACAAGCAGAGGCAACTGTAATGGGAACCACACAGAAAAGGAACTTCTGACAGAATGAATTGTTATGAACCTGATATACGACAAAACTAAAATTCATGTGAAAACTTTCTACGAATGTATATAACTGCAGACAAAGCCACTAGCCTTACCATTACCACCCCTGCATATAACAGCTCTGGAGTCCCCAACATTTGCAACAAGCAAACGGTCACCGACCAGAATTGCAGTAGAAGCAGTTGATCCAGCATCTCTGTTTTGAGTGTTTTCTGATTTGAGAAATTCAGAATCGGTATGGCTATATGCATCAGCTGGAGACAAGAAAAATTTGGAAGGAAAAACAATCTTATCTTCTGGACTTAGCATATCAGAAAGCATCAAACAAAAGGATGGTAAAGCTGAAGGTAGGAGATGGCAAACCAATAGCTGATTTGGTGTCAGAAATAAACTTTGGATGTCTGATCAAATTACTGAAGAGGTTTTGCTTGACATACTCAGCAGCCCGTGCGCCACCATGACCTGAAAGAATTAAAATCTTATAACCAATGCGCTTACAGCTACATTATACATTTTGGAGTGGACCGAAATTTTTTTTTGGGGGGGGGGGGGGGAGGCCATCACGCATATGCTAAATAAATGAAAATTTGGATCCGGTCAATAAATAATCATTCCTATTTCGTTAGATAAAGAGAACAAGACTTTCCATGTCAAACAAGAAAGAAAACAACATATAGTTTCTCACACCAAACAAGAAACACTACGCACCTAAATGAAGGTTGTAAAGTACTCATAAGAAACAACAGAAAATAGCATGTAATCCTTATCAGCAGAAAAATTTGAGTTTAAGAAGAGGTTGAGGCATCGGAATGCTATTCCCATACAATATTTTTTTCCTAGATGGCCAAACTCCAGACACATTTTCACCCTGCTGTGACGAAAACAATACTTTAGCCATATAGAATGATCTACGTATCAGTAATTCTAGCCTGAAAGTGGGGACCCTTTTGCGATGTAGTTATATATATATATGAGTAAAATAAGCAAATGGCATTATCGATCACTTGGAAGAATTGCTTTCTCATTATTTTTAAAATGGAAATGGATAGGAATATATTGATAAAGAGAGGAGGGGGGGGGGGAAATCAAGTTTTGCCATGTACAAGGAGGGGGAAAAGGAAAGGTATTTGCAAATATACCATCAAAAACTCCAAAGAGGCCAACAATTTCACCATCAACACCATCAATTCTCGTCTCATAAAAGTCTTCCATTGAAGATCTCTTGCCAGGAGAGCTAGCATATCCATAACTGAACTTTCCGTTCTGACTGTTGACACAAAATGGAAGTAAGTGTCAAAATTATCTCGCAAAGTCTCATTCTTGTACATTGCAATGAAAGAAAATTCCAGAGAATTTGAAATTTTGTCAAGCCATAAAATTGTAAAGCAGTATAAAATATACATGATTATTTGTTCTAATCAGTATTGAGCATGGAGATGCAACAAGCTAAGACCCAACTCAGATTTGGAACATTCAATTCGATACTATGGCAACCTCCTCTATATTTGCTCAAGGGATAAAAAACCAAGAATAATCTCAGTCTAATAACAGGGGAGAATAACACAGAAATAGTTAGGAAAAACAGGGAAAATACCATGGTTGAATTTATATGTCCCGGGGAACTTGCTATATCGGCAATCTAATGACATATTTTAGGTATTTTTAATGCACATCCAGTGCCCTCTGATAACATTAATTTTCTGTGACCTCATAAGTCAAAATACAATTTAGTTAATATTGTTTTCACCATAAATGTTAATTAAACCTTTTTGTTTCTAGAGATATTCTCCTGAAAGAACAGGAAAAATGTCTACTATATATTGGGTTATGCGTTAGGCTCAACTTATAATTCATAAAAACCGATTTAAACAAACCATCCATTAGCATAATCTATATAATAACCAAAAGCTACAATAATTAATTAATTATCAGCATAATTATGATAGGTAGTATTTCATCATAATATACTCGGCTTGAAATTGTGTATGGTTCGATAATTTAGTTTGGTTGCTTTGTCTTGCTCTAGCTCTTGGCAAGGGTGGGGAGAACTATGTCCAGCAAACAAGCAAGGCATGGAACTCGACTAGATGTCAGAAACATTGAGCCAAAACATGACAAATGCGAAAACAAAAAACTGCCACAAAACATGAGAGGCACTTTGGCCAACTTAGCTGACATTTATCGACACTTGCCTACATGTGCTTTTCATGGACACTAGACTTTAGCTGCTTCCCATGAGAGATCAACTGAAACCGACCAGAGGACAGAAAACCCAAAAGGAACACATGTTAAAGCCTTCTAACCTAGCAATATGCAAATAGATAAACAAAATCTCGCAGGAAAAGGGAGCGGCAGGGGAAAAGTTTAATGTTAGCTTGGTGACTTTGGGTTAAATTACCCAACTAGACTGAATCTAACTGACAAGGCCGTTTAGGGAGAACGAATGAATCACTTGAAAAGTTCCCCTATAGTCATCGGAACAGAGCTTGAATTTTCTCCGCTCATTCCATTATAAGGATGAACCAAAAGCGTATATGAACCATAGAGAAAAATCAACCCAACTGAACAAGAATACAAGTTATACGAACTACAATTATACAAAGAGGAATCCTTATAGTGGTATAAGGCATTTATCCAACTTTACATATTATCAAGTAACCATGGTAGAGATATACCCAATGGGCAAGCCACAATACAGAACCATTATTTAGCAGTAAACACTTCAAAGGCTGAATAGGATCTATAGATGCCTAATCGGAAATTTCATTAATGATAAATACATTATAATTCCAAAATATTCGCTCCGTGATTTTCAAGCTCATTCATGAATCGCACAGAGCAAAGTCATGAATATGCAACTTAACGCAATAAGGAGTAATATAACGCGGCGGATATAAATGACAAAGATTTAATACAACGGCCAACAATGGATGAAATCAATCTGCAACATTGACTATTAAACACACAGAAAAAGCTACCATTTTTATCCCGTTCTAGATCTAAGAAAAGGATCGATATGCTCAAAGAAGTTAACCTGAGGCCTCCGCCGCTCACAGGGGCATCTTCAGCAGCATGAACCTGGCTTGAAGAGGACAAAACTGAATTGAGATAGCCCATATTATAGCTTGAATATTCTGGGTACCCAGATACTCTTTCCTTGACCAATATGAGAAAGTGAAGAAACAAAAGCTGTATTGCGTATGTATAGCTGATTCTTGCGTGCCAATGATTCCAAGTTATCATGACATGAGTGGGGTCACTCAGAACTTAATAGCTGTCAAGTTTAACCTTCACAGAAAACCCACAGGGGAGAAATTGTAAATAATTTCACAAGACGCGATAAATTGCGCAAAGATGCGAACTTCGTGCATTGATCTTGTATTTTACAGCTACCAAGCAAAAGATGCTAAATCTAAAGCAGGAAGGTTAATAATTTGTAGGAATTATTGCACAAGGAAAGAGGGTAATCATTATTAGGCACAGAAGGTACCTGAGGAAGAAGAATAGAGCCGAAATGCCATGACATGGAGGGACAGAGAGTTTTAGACGATAGAGGAGAAAAGGAAGAAAGAGGAAGAAAACCGGGGGTATTCTGTTTCAATCGGGTTCAAATTAGCTTATGGTTTTTCTTGGTGCACAGCTCGGAACCTCCAAATTACCTCCAAATTAAATCCTCATATATTTACCATGAAGACTAAATTTGTTGGTCAAATTAGCTTATTGTTTGTTCAACAATAGAGTTGAGAATTAGGACAAAACCAATTCAATCTTTTTTTAGAAAAAAACAAACAGTATCATCAACCGAAAATAAGGAAAATTTTTTACTTTGACGATTATTATTATTATTATTCTCTCATTAATTTTGCCATTTTATTTGATCATTGTTCTTTAATTGAGCTCAATGGCCGTTTCTTCAAATGCTAAAAATAGTACGGTGCCTCGCATACGCGTCGCCGGAGGATGTGGTGGCTTAAGGTGGGACAGAGTCAAGGCGAAAATAGAACTCTATCCATCCATTAAAAAAAATCATCTAATTCGGTGGAGCTGACACATGTAGGTTTACATGCAGAAGGAGACACGGGCCTCTTCCTGGTGATGACTCACGTTTTAACTGCCCCTTCGGCAGTTATTTAAATTTTACATCATTGAAGGGTGACAAGTCATCGTAGGTTGGACTTTATCGACATCGTAGCCTAATGTGTGTACGGTGTAATTGTGTCCGGCAAATGATTCCCTTCTTTTACTGCTAAAAGCTCCAACGATGAATTTTGGCCTTTTGGTTATAAGAAAGAATCCACCGACCACCACCACCACTGGATCCTACGAGTCCAACTAAAATCAATGCTCCTTTCATTTCGTATTATAAGCAAGGCAACTAAAAACCAAGCCGATAATTAAACTGGTCAAAATAATGAGTCAAAGGTCAGTAAATCAGACTGGAATCAAACCGGGAGTCAAACCTGTGAGAATAAAAAAATAAAAAATAATTTAAAATTTCACTAGAAACTAAATATCAATTTAATATCTTGAATTACTAGTAAAATAATTATGTACTCACAATTTCTTATAATATCATACTATTAAAATCACTAAATATTCATCTCAATAAAATATCAAAATAGATATATGATAATAAAATATTTCTCCTTATAACTATTCAATAACTAAGTCCTAACTATCAATAGCTTTAAAAAAATTTAAAAAAATATATTTTTAAAAAGGACACTAGGTTAACCCATCAAACTGGATGGGTTAATGGTGTCATTACTGGTTTGTCCCGGTTCAGTCCGGGTCACACTGAGTCAAAGTGACCCCTGTTTATAAGTTTAACCAAATCAATTTCCTGGCCGGTTCACCTGTTTTCGGCTGGGTTTTTCATACCATGATTATAAGGTCTAATTTTTTGAATGGGTCTGTTCTTTTTTGTAAGATCTTTTTTAAATTTGTCTGAACATTTAATGCATTATTACTTATTTTACCCTTAATCTAATATATTTAATACATTCTCTTTCTTCATTTACCTCACTATTATTCTCTCACATATATCTATTTATATATAGGGGTATATTTTAAAAAAATTATTTTTACCACATATTAATTATTTTTAACTAATTTTAACTGTTTTTTTAAACCACTTAATTTAGTTAAAAGGATTTTATAATAAGGAATGGAGAGAGTAAAAATTAGTGTTAAAGCATTAAGCAGACTCATTAAGGAATTAATTAATTGTCGGTACCTTGAAATCAGCTGCGAATAAACAAAGATCCGTTTTTTCGCGATCCATCATGCAATGGAGAATTAGAAACTTAAAACCTCTCAATTAGGAGTTCCGGCTAGGATGTTCACCTAAGCTTCGACGATTCATACTCGCATGCATTTTGGTTGTCGAACAGTTAAATAGCATTTTCAGAAATCTTGGGCAATTAGTATTCTTTCAATCTCTAATGGCACTTTTGTCTTTCATCGTATAGTGCTTGTTGCTTGGGTACCAACTTCTTTTAATACCGCTCGTGTCTAATTCTGATTATATCATGATTGGATCTTGGGACCTGCAGAAGCCAATGAGACTAGATTGCTTGATTTATCGAGTACAATTTAGATATCAAGACAGGTACGTGAAAGCATCAATTGCGACCGCTTGATTGGCTTTTCTGCCAAATATTATATAAGAGAAATTATTTTGAAATTGGGTGGGATAGGCGTCAACCTTGTTTCTATATTCCTCACAGAAAATTGTGGGGCTTGTTGATTGCCTATACTCAACGAAATTATCCTCTACACTCGAAGTATACACCACCGCCCCTGCGTGCGACTACGATGTATTAATGTTGACCAGCATGTTATATTAATATTGAGACGTTTTTTTCCTGCGTCCTTTGATTAAATTATTGTTTGAAGTTGTTTGTGAGGATCAAAGACGTGTGATTCGATTGTAACTAGCTACATCGCGTAACAACTTAAAAATTCTTTTCCGACATCGCTAGATAAATCGAATCTGAACGAAGCAGAAGGAAAAATGATGCTTAAAAGGGCAGTGTGGGGAAGGAAATTCACATAGCATCAAGCCCACGTAATAAATTTGGCCGAAAATACCCCCAAGAATGATTGTCACCTAAATTAACGAATAAATATGTGATCGGCTTATTGCAAATTCTTAAATTCGTCTGGTTGGCGTTTAGTGCCCTCCCAAGACGGGAACATATGCAATGGTAGCCAAGTGGCAAACAGTGAGAGAGGTATGTATAAATATATATATATATACACAAATAAAATACACCCGCCAGAAACTCTATTTTAGGAAACCATCTCGTTCAACATGTTTATCCAAAATGTGTTTTATGAAACATTAATCAACAAAAGATAACGTAAGCACTACATATACGTTCCTTGCATTTATAAATAATAAACTCAACATCTCTATCAATCCATTTATTCCCCGAATAACTATCAATAGTCAATAAATTTTAACATAACGATACATCAATATATTAAAAAAACATATAACTGAAAAAAAAAAATATTTGAAAAAGAATCCAATAGGTACAAAAGAATGACTCCCTTTCACAAGCCATTTTGGTCAATTGGTAAGATTAACTTGAGTTTTATTTCCTTCATGAGCTTTTAAAGCAGCTACAAGAAGGAGATTTTGAGACCAAGTCCGCTCACTTTTAACTGCCACATGCTAACAGCTGTACCTCTATTTCCATTTGTGGAGAAGTTTTGATAAACAAAGCCAAGACGCTTCTTGCAGTCTGTGGTTAAAATGATAAACTAGAGCTGAAATAATGTCAAAAGTAAATTTGTGGACATCAGGTTTCACAGCCATCCGTAGAAGCATGGCTGTCCACTCATCTGGCGCCAGCCTAATCACCTCATTAAAGTACTGAAAGCCTTTTCCAATCCTATTGAGAACAATTCGCTCCTGCATGGACAAGAATGTTACATTCCAACATATTGACACCTCACTTGCAAAGTCGGACGGAAAGTGCAAACATCTATGGCACAAATACGCTCAAAGGCAGATAAACATAAGGGCCGTCATAGTCTCATTCTTCCTTTTAAGATTTTCTCTACTGTAAAATGCTTTACCCCTCTATAAGATATTGATTAACGTATTCATAGATTTACATGTGTTTTACATCTAGCAGCGTACAATTCAACCTTTAAAGCTTATGCCAGAAGCCTTCCTTTAGTGATTACTACTATAAAAGTCATTTTAAGCAGGGCATCAAGCAATGCTGTAGTTAAAAAAAAAAAAAAAAAAAAATCCATGATTGATGTGTTCAGCGAGACAAACTTCAATATTACCTCAAATAGCAATCTGCTTTTGCCCTGAGGCGTCTCCTTTAACAAATGATCAATGATCTCATCTTGCAGGAATAAATCAGCCGCTTCTATTATGTCTCGAAGAAGGAAAAGACGCACTCTCAGACCCTTGTCCGATAAAAGGAACAATAAAAGATCTTCAGTGGCATCAACAACAGAATGCATGTCAAAGTATTTCCAACCAAAAGGACTTGAAGACTTCTCAGAACTAGGGTCTTCAGTTGACTCAGAAGCCTGCTCAGATATTGCTGCTATCTGAAAATTGAATCCGCACAAAATTTAGACCAATATTACATAACATGAAAACTATGCCCGAGAGTATTTAAACTTGAGTGGAGCAATAGATGGGTGCAAAATTTGCGATCCTCCCAAAACATTACTAGCATGGGCCTGCGCTTTCAGCCTCAAGAAGTCATGCTTACACATTCTTGAGGGAGCGTGACATAATCAACGTGCAAAATTTTTATCTGATTTTAACTAGGCAGCATGTAACAAGTGAACATTAAGCTCATTGTGCACAGGTTCTATAAGTAGCTCTAAAGAAAATATAGACCATTGCCCATGCAACATCTTAACCACAAACCCCTGCAGAAAAGGTAAGGCAGGGGAGGGTGGGGAGGGAGGACTGATTGCAGAAAAGCAAATTCAGCTAAATGATTGCTGATCAGACCATGCAATTTAAGAGATATAGTCATTCATATACCCAAGGAAAACCAGAGCAGCGTAAAGGCAACCACACAGATTTGGTTATGCCACCCATGTAGGGTTCCAAACTTCCAAATCCAAGGGCAAGTGAAAAAAAGGGTTCATCAAGATGTAAAACTTAAAAGAGTAGTGTTACATGAGATGATTAGATTATGATGAAGCAAATAGCAAGTAGCGCAATCTAGAGAGGTAGACACACGCACGTGCACGCACAGACAGAGAGAGGGAAAGAGATATACCAAGCGCTCTAGTCGATTCCACCGAATAGCTCCATTGTTACAAATGAGAAGTTGCCTCAAAATTCTTCTCATATCAGGACTTGGGTCTGCAATCAGTCTCCCAATGACAAATGGATATGCGCTCTCAATGACTTTGAAATCAGGATCCAGAACTTTTGCTGTGCCCTCAAGTGATCCCAATGCTCTTATCACTAGAGCATAGTCTGGTGGGAGGGAGAAGTTAAATTCATACATAACATCATAAAGTTGGTTCATAATTCCCTGAAATCCAAGGTGAGAATGAAAATTGAGAAATTGAGTACCACAATTCCGATACTTGAGC